TTGTCCAATTTTATCTACTAGAGCATCCGTTTGCGTGACCTCTGTTGCATTTGGAGAAGAAAAGTGAGACCAACTTTGTGGACAAATGAGGAGCGGGCAAAGGAGGAAGCACACCGGAAGAGAACGTGATACTCAGTGTATCAGCAAATGGAAATTCTATCCGTTTTACTTGTTCTGGATTGCATGGAAATTCAAAGGGGATCATGGTGTTTGGCGGTGTGATCCTTCTTTGTAAGCTTAGTAGCACCCCAGCAAGGGCCGATTTCAGATATTAAGTCGCATTTCCGAAAGCCATTTAGCTCAAACGTCTACTCTTGAGTGGTAAGTTCGTTTGCTCCCGCAGTATGCCTACATTGAAGCTCGTCTGTGGCATGCAAGACGGTAGTCCATTCATCCATGTTATGGCTTTCGGGCGTGAAAAAGCGGCTGCTTAGAAGAAGCCATCTTTGAGTGTTAACGAGCATCGCGGGCTACACTACAGGTGCTAATGCACGTAACGTAGCCCTTCCATTGAGCAAAAAAACCAATCTAGTAATGCGTTAACAAACAGGTGCCGTTTCGTGTCCCATCATTTCCCACATAATGCCAACAAACGTGTGCGTTATGCATCAAAAAAACGGTACCTAGGCAGTGCCGTTTGTGTGCTTTCTCCACGCTGCGGGCCACGCCTTGTGGATAGTTTGCTGGCTGCCACGGGCTCGCTGAATTATATTTACATGGCATCTTGACAGAAAGAGACAACGTAGCTCCGGTCACTGACCCCTAAGAAAAGGTTGTAAAGTATCTAATCTAGTGCTGCCCTGTAGCGCACTACAATTTCCAATGCCTCGTCTTGCAGCGGGCTCTGTAGCGGCCGTAGTAGATAACGTTTCATGACTGGCATCAAGAGGGAGGTATATGGTGAAGCTCACCTTGGTCTATCTTCTTAAGAAATTGCGCGCGCCATATTGGACCATAGTCTTTTATGATATGTTTCAGTTTTCGCTCTTCAGTTATGTATACTAGATCACTCAACAATAAAGGCTTTGGCTGTCCCCAAGAAGGTTTTCACCGTTTTCTCCCGTATCCACGCCCTCCAGTTCGAGCTGCCTACGGATTTAAAATAATGCAGCGCCAAAAAATTAAGTTCAAGCTATAATAAGTCCACATATGCTCCCACTATTTTACTACCATCCCGCAATAAGTCGTCGAAGGCTATGCATGTTGTCAGGCCTGGTCACCTGACTAGCAGTGGTCCTAAGTACTCAGTTGGTCAGACGCCATTTCGTATGCTAGCCGAAAGTACGGTCTGCTAAACAGATGTGCTACATAGCGGATGCAGCCTTGAACATTTTCGCAGGTGCAGGTGTTCAGGATGGCAGTCACACAGTAGACACATTGTAAAACACTGCCTTAAAAGCCAAGGTTGCCCTCCCAAAAAACGATCAAAGATTCCTGAGGAATAATTTTTAACCTATGAGCCCCCAAAATTTGATAGGGTCACTGCAGCGCCCACAGTAGGTGTACACAACAGGTATATGTCTGAGAGAATTCTCTTCTTCAGCGGGTGCTCGAGAGAGGAAGCCACACTAACTCTCAGGAGTGCAAACGAGTACAGAACAATCACAACCATTCTTGCAGAGGTGCTTAGCCCTAAGGATGCGCGGCAAGCGAGCAAGAGTCCTCACAACTGGCACTCCTTGAGGGTCCGTAAAGCAAGCCACAAGAAAACATAAGTTTACCAAGGCACACCCCCACGGGCTCCCCACATACGACCTTTGGCAATTCAAAAGACTGCGCAGCTGATTGTGTGGGACCTGATTGCCGCGACCAATCGAAAGGATGCAGAAACCCCATAGGCGCATGTGCTGCACACTAGCATAGACCCGCTGAGCCTAAGGTTAGGGATAATTAGTCACAGCTTGAAGATACCCCGATGACTTAAACGTTCTCCACTGCCTGAAGACTCAGCACGACACAGTCATGTAGAGTAAAATTGATCCCAAGGCAAACCAGTCGAAGGGTGGCAATTCATAAGTAACTCGACTCACTGGAGCAAGTGTGAAAGTAGCGAATCTAGAAAAGTTGTGTTAATAAACATGTGGAACAGAGCTAACTGTCACTCTCTAGCTTGCTAAGTCAGGCTCACTCAATTCCATTGGCCTTGAGATGTAAACATCACGAACTTTCATAAGTGGACGTTGAAGGCTGAGCCCTAAGCATATGAACGCCCCTGCCACCGACACGGAGCTGACAGGCCATTATCCAGCACAAAAACCTGTATGATACTGAATATTTTCGCAGAGAAATATTGCTTAGATTATCGTGCAGAGGCAGAGTAACTATGGACGGTCTAGATAGCGTGGTTACGTGCTGAGCAGTTCCAATATTGTTGAGTTAACTGGGCGGACCACCGACTTTGTCGATCTCGGCACAGTGCACGATTTAGGTTTGAAGAACCATTTGTCTAATATCATACCTCCAATATGTCTGAACTAGTGCATATGTGGTCGTGGATACTTGTAGAACCGCTAAGGGACCGAAATAAGCCACTCCGAAACAGTTTGCTACTGGAGTCCGATCCTAGCGGCACTCGATCCCACTGCACAACCATGCTGGTACCAGATGCAATGAACTGTTCCTTTCACCTATTTTCCTCTTCTTATTCCAAACCAACCAGGTATTGTTTACATGGGGGTATCTATGGTTATAACCGAAAATTGTTTGCTGCATTGGAGACTCCATGCTACTTCGTTGTCGAACACTTCCCAAAAGCTGTCGTGTGCCTCTCCTAAACTCCTTTTCCACTGCAACACGGCTTCAATTCTTTTAGAATAACCAGAATGATTAGGTCCAGTTTTTTGCGGGAGGGTTGCAACGCAATGATGGGCAGAATCTCTCTTTAGCAAGATACAGTGCAGTGATCGGCAGAGACGATGCAATCCATGCTGCATCACGCCCATATTTTCGCTACCATTTTCCGCCAAGTATGTCTGTGTCCCTTGAATTATTTGTGAGTATGCACTGCAGTTGCTTGTTGCACCTCTGTTGAGGGCTTGTCCAGTCGCTGCACCAACTTGTTTCCCAGCTAGACCTATTGGTCGATGCCATTCGTACCTAGTTTCACAAACATGGGCCACTCGCTGTTTAATGACCTCAGACCTCAAAAAGTTCTTTCTTACTGCTCTGGTAGTGCGTGGCTCAGGACACTGTGGTAGCCATGGGTTGTGGGACTTTCGGGGGGTCCCCTGGCGCCTTGCTGTGTTTTGCACACCACACCACTCCTCTGGCCCCCACAACCTTCATTTAAGGTTTTTCGGAGAAACAGTGCTATCTAGAGGCACAGCTGTATCTGTGTGCTTTCTTCTTGCATTGGTAGCGTGTGTGCTGCGAGGCAATGCCCTGAGGCTCACGGCAGATGGGACACCGTTAGACCCAACTTCTCCCCACTACATGACCGAACAGCAAATACAAGCCATCAGTGACCCGCAGCTGAACTATGTAGGAGGTTTATAGCTGCATTGTAACAAAAGGAGTGCCAGAAAACCTGCCAAGGTTCCTTAAGAAAGAGGAACTAAATGCCTATCAATATGGATACCAACAAGAAGACGATTGCATCATGGGTGAACAACTTCGAGCCCACCAAACGAAACCCAAAGAATTCCCTGGCAGAGCTGCTAAAGGGTTTGTTTCCTCTAATGTGCCCTCAAACATCTTTGAAACCGGAAAAGCCGTTCTCATGTTGTACACAGTGGATGGAAGCTCTGGCCAAAATTCAAATTGCAAAGGGCCTGCACGGCAGATTACGCGAATAAATGACGACTCATACCGCAACCGGAGAGATGAGTGCTCGGCATCAACTGACTCCATGTCTCAGAATATAGACACATTAGATCAGTATTATGAAATTGATGTTTCCACCCTTTTCTAAGGGAAGGGAAAGACGGGACAGCCGCTGCACCTGAGGATAAGGCAGCAAACGATGGACTGTTACACCAACCTTGCGAACCCCTTGGGCAGCAATCGCCCATAGCTAAAGATCACTACGTTGGACACAACGCCAGTCGATGCGCAGTACGACAGTTGGGGTGCTTTTTCAAGGTGCCGTGTGAACTGCATTTCTAATGGAAATTACCAATGCAGGAAAAGGTCCTGCCTCCCGGGAGTAGGCAGCGATTTAGCGTGCAGAGTAGAGAAAATAGTGCGTAAGAGCACCTGCGCGGACGATACTCTGGTAGAGAAATGCACATGATCACTCCTTATTACCGTAAACGCATGCCCACAGGATAGCAGAGGCGTTGAGCATTCCAGCTCCGGCGCAGAATGCGCCTGGACTTGGGGCTTTTTTGCCAGGGAGAGCATGGACGGAAAGACTGCTTGCAAATCTCGTGAGGTTCACCGATACAGTGCCATGCCATCAGTGGTGTAGGGAAATTTGAAATCACACTGCATCCATAGGCAGTGCATGAACGGGGAGCAGCTGCATCGAACCGTGTGGTGCACTGGCCATATAGGCCAAAGATCACAAGCTGTAGTTTCCAGGGGGCAAATCAGGGCCGTTGAGAGAAGCCCAGCACATTGGAAGTGTATGTATAGAGAGGAGAATTCTAGCCAAGCAGACCGGGGGAGGGTTCCTTCGTGTGCTGACTCAAACCCTTAAGCAAAGCGCAGTACAGCCCACTTCTCCAGAAAAATGTGTGACGTGTGTTAGCTCACCAGTACAGTTCTAGAGTTTTAAAGACCAAGGTTTTCTATGTATTCAGATCTACCGTATACTGATTTTTGTGTGTTCCTTGGTCGCTTCAGCAGTAAGGATTGCAACCACAGTCTATAGCAGCAACGCCACCGTCTGCGCCACTACTTCAATGACGAGCACTACAACTGCAAAGGAATCTGACAGCACAACTATGTGGATCGTCATTGGCTGTGCTGGAGGAATTCTTCTACATTGCGAAATCGTCCTAGTTGGTAAGAGCAGATGCACATGTTGACGCAGCGCATCAAAGAACTTGCACAGGAGATTAATTTATTTCTGAAGCTGCACAGATGGGCGGCAACCTACCCGTTACGACATGTTTTGCATTGTTGCCACTTAGCCAATATCTGCAACACAGAAAACTTGAGGTCCCTAAATGCTGTATTCACTTTGAAGCACCGTGGAATTGCGATTCACCTGAAAGTGTTCATGTGTGGCTTCGTGGTAGCCTCAATTGTGCTTATGGCAAAATTTCTTACCTCCAAATAATTTAATCGTTTGTTGCTAGTACGTTGGTGTTTGTTCCAGGTATGAAGGCTATATCTCAAAACTTAGCTCGTGCGAGATTTGCCGAGCTCGCAGGAGAGCCGCAGGACTTTGGAGAGGGCTGCTGGAATCCAATTGCCCACGGACTTAAGGCAAAAGCAGCGTTCTTCCCCGCTGGTGGACCTCCTGGCGCACGGCGAATGGGCCCCCCTAGAGGGTTCTAAGCAACATTTATGGTTTTGCATAAAATGTCTTTACTCTACGTAACACACCCATTTCTGGTTGACGCCAAAGCCTGCCTGGGATTATACAGTCCCGCGAGCGCGCTTAAAGATAATATTAAAGTCGTCAAAACTCTGATGAAATTTCAAAGAGCTGTCTACCTTACAATGTGAATGATCGGGAGTGTGGCGGTGCCATTCTGACATTAAGCGTTGCGAGGGTGGATGCCCTGCCAATACTAGAGCAGCGAGCATCAACGAAAGCGAATGAACTCGTAGTACCTATCTGTAGCATCTAGTCTGAAGCTAAATGCCATAACGTAAAAGGACGCATATCAAAGCAGCCTCTACTAATACCCCGCAGCGAATAAGCGCAAATAAACATTGGACTTGCTGCTGCTTCTACTAGCTAATCGAAGGTCTCTGCTGTGTCTACACAGAAATGACCTCGGAGCTTCACATGGGCCGCTGAACCCCGGGAACACCCCCTCCCTTAGGAGGCCCTCCCATAGGAGGCCCTCCAATAGGAGGGAAACCGTGAGGTGCGCCCATTGCCGGTGGCCCCCTAAGCATCCCCGGCTGCTGGGGCCAAAACATTCCAGCACCAAGTTCTGCAGTTCCTGGAGCTAGCTCCCCAGTTTGGGGGTTTAAGTTGGCGTTCAGCAAATCCGCATCACTTAGAGGTTTCTTTTTCACACCTGAGAGCACAGTGGGAGTGCATAAAATTTCGAAATAGGCATAGTTGCATACATGAACGGTAGAGAAAACAAGTCCAAACTTCACGCCCTATGCACGACAAGACGTCTGCAGCATGCTCAAAATACACCAAGATACAGAGGAGGTCCGACTTCGGTGTCAGCCACGGTGCCCCTGAGCGGCTGCGAGAGACTTCCATTCCTCCTGCCTTCCAGCCTTCTTCGTGTTTCAAAAATGCTACACTTAAATGTATATAAGTTTCGAATTTGCGGAATCAAACGCCTTACATAGCAGAGCAAAGCTCCCAACCACGACGACCACGCCCGCGATGCCCAGGATGATCCAAATGACATTCGTGCTACTGGACTCCTCGGCACTTGTGGTGGTGCTATCGCTTCCTGCCGCTGCTGCTGCACAGCAGAAGCCACATGCACAAGAGAAGGCTACCTGAAAGACCTAAGGGCCGCTACGTGAACACAATGCAAGAGCACTTTCAGTCTGTTTGTACGCAGGCTGAGACTGGCTCGCCTGTATGACTTGCTAACCCCCCAAGAAGCGACTTGAATTCGACTCAGAATTTCTGCTGATGGCAGCGTGTAACAGCAGCATACAGCCAGCCATAGATAGGCCCGCATAGGGTGTGATCCTGCGTACTCCCTTCGCAAACAGTCTTGGTGGATACATCGAGCCTTGTGAACTTTCCAGAGCAGTTGCACATAACATTGTTGGCAACCGAAGAGTTGCAAGACGAATTCTCAGGACAAGCGTTTTCTTCAATAAGTTTATCACAGGTGCACGGCGATGAGACCTGGGAGTCCGAGCACGGTTGCTTGTCGACCATGCGCTCCATTTTGCACGAAACCCCACTGCTTACACCCGGTGTGCAAGTGCGCTTTCTGCACTGGTAGTTCACCTTTGTTACACAAGAGACACGGCAATCCGAGAAAGGCCCCCATTCGCCATACACGGCGTCAGTAGCGTCGCTTTCCTCCGTTTCCACACTTAACTTTGGGCCAAAGTTGGACTTTGGAGTATCGAATTCGGAGAGGCAGCCATTTTCCTTCTCCCTGAACAAAAGGTGCAAATAGCTGCCTTTAAGATTCTTTCCATACACCAACGAGCTGATATCTAGCTTGTACTCTTCTAAATCAAAACCGATGGGCAAATACAAGTAGTCGTTGGATTCGCTGGAGGAGTTGCGCCCGTGCAGATACTTATCGTCCGTCAAACGGATCACAGTCAACATATGAGACTCGCACGTCCAGCCATGCGAGAACCCATCCCAAATCTTGGTAAGGCTTAAATTTGCGCTTCCGCTGCTCGCTAGGGTGGAAGGCAGCTTGAAGGTCAGCCCAAATTCCCGCTCCCTTCCGGGGTCCGTCGTGGTTTGGTATGCCTTTAAAGAATTGTTCACATACACTTCGTTGTGAACGTGCTCTGCCCATTGCGTAGGCGATAGCTCTACAGTTTTTCGAACATATGCCTGGTTCTCTGGCACAACGCCAGTGAAGATGCAGTCATCGTTTTCTTCAAGGTTGAGAGCCGGTGCCTCCATCGCGCCTGCCTCCAGCTGAGAAAACGGCTTCTCCTCCAGGGGCGTCAACGCAGGGGATTTGCTGCCATTGGAATGAGACGCAAAGGAGCTAGAGGGCTTCATGTTTATACATAAACCTGAGCGAGGTGCTTCTCCAAGCAACAGAGCGCTGAACGCCCCAAAGCGCAACAGTCGCCCCATTGCGCCGGCCTCCCAATTGGGGGTCGTGCAAGAAAACGTTTACAACAGCGAAGAGAATTTCAAACTATGAATGGGACGCCAGATGACTACTGGGTCACACGGGCTGTCGCGTGCATGCCGATGCAGTTGAGCCGGAGTTTTGTCCGCCCTCTTTCTAGCCCGCTTAGAACGTGAAACGCGGAGCAGCCATCAAGTGTCGCTGGATCAAAAGTAACGACCGGCCTCTAGGCTTTCTTGGAGCACCACTTCTGATGTCAATGTCGTGGTCCTCACGGGAATACGAACTGTGAAAGGCACTGTTCAACCGGAATATAAAGCAGACGATTGCTGCAACGCTTGCATGAAATCTATCCGCCTCTTAACATTTATTGGGGGAAAAAAAGCAAGCGGGAAAAAACAAGAAAAAGCATCCGTCAATGGCGTGTCCTGCTGAGCGTTCGCATGGCTGGATCCAGGAAAGCAGAAATGAGTGAGAGCCAGCTGTACGGTACAGTATAAGTACAGGAAATCAGAGCAGGAGAATATAGCTGTCGTCTAAGGATTCAGCATTCTTGCGAAACTGGGGAACTGATTTATCTGCCTCGCGCTGCAATCGATGCACTGCCCGGCTCAGCTTCACCACTGGACAGTTGTATGGCTTCGAAACCTCCTTTCCTGCAGTTTTCAGCTCTTTTTCAAAATAATAATATACGAATACGTTTCGTTTTCCGTAAGCTGAGCAGGCTTCGTCTGCAACCCTTCACCTATCGAGAGGAATGCTCAGCCCGGCAGAGAGAGGCTGTCCGCAGTCAAACCTGCCCTGTATCGCTGCTCCGTCTCTGCAGGTTCTACTGAATAGTAGTCATGCTGAGAGAAAGTAATACATTTGCTACAAAGCAGCTCACATTTGACTTTACTTGCTCGCCTCATAACATTGCTGCATGTGGCTAGCTGGAGTGTTTACAGTGCAAAATACACGAAACCTGACGCACAAATGTGCATCATACTGTTCAGACGAATAAGCATTTACATTATGACGTAGCAGCAGCGAGCACGGTAAAGGCTGGAGTGCCTTCTCGCTAGAGTTCCCATACTCAGACAACCTACCCGTGACTGAGCATTGCAACGGGGACATTTGCTGTAGCGGACAAGGCTAGCTTAAATACTATTTTTGCTATACCAAACAAATACAGTGGAAAAGTTGTGGAGAATTGACCGACTGGTTTCTCTGTTAGCGCACAATATGTTCCAGCGTATCCATAACTCGATTCAAGAATGCACAATGTTGTGCGTTTCTAAACAAGGCACCATGTGCAGCTATGTGTGAATACTCGGACTCTCAGAGAGTTCTGATACGCATACTCTAGGTGCCTCTCCCCCCCATTTGAGAAACTCTGAGGGGCGAGGCAAGGTGTGGAAGGAGTATTTCTAAAGAAAACAAACAACTTCCGATTGTATTTGTATTGAGTTAGGAGTTAAGTGTGTCCCCAATAAGACCTTGGATGGCCCCTTATGATTGCTGGTAGTGCATTATTCGATGCAGTTTTACCCCACTCATCCAATAGCTATGAATGCAGTGGGAAGCCAGCCCTTCCTGCAACAGTGTCCGGTTTCTATCACGTCATTCGTAAATCAATAAACTGAGTTCTTTGAGAAAGTAGCATGGAAACCCTTTGGCGATGGAGTAGACAATGACACAACGCCTGTTGGGCCGGCAGAGGCCAGCCTGCAAGCGGTTGTGACCGCAGTAGCTTCACAAATGGTGTAGGGGCACGACACACCATTCGATAAAATGTTTATTGATACACGGATGAGGGTACACAGATTGGTAAAGTATGGCAGCAGCCCGAATGAGCAAGAACTCGAAGATACTATCAGCGGGTTAGAGATGTACCTAGCATTGTAGCCCCCAGATAAAGAGGAGTATGTGCTCTTTTGGGAAAGAGAAGCACTTCCTTCGTGGCCTTATTCATGCTAAGGAAGCTGCATGCCTGAAAGGCTTACGACGGTGCAAGCTTTCATACATTCCCTGACTATTGAATTTATGCCAAGACCAACTTACCAGCGCGCAGTGGAAGAATGTAGAAAGCTGAAGCAGAGGACTATCAATCGACATCTATATCGAGGAATATGAGACTTTGGCTAGCAAAACCTACATCGTAGACGATCATCTGCATTATCAACTGCTTATATCAAAGCGCTACGTCACCCGGTCGCATGGTGGGCGGCAATTGAGCAACCAAATAGCCGACCGGTGGGGCCTTGCTGCAAATGCTGGACTACTTGAGGTGCCAGTAGTGCATGAGCGCAACTCCTGGATCTTTGGGTAGGAAGGCAAAACTAAATCAGAGCTCCGAATACATGAATGTCGAGGATTGTCGGCTGGTCCCAGCATGCGATCTAAGGTGGACGAGAAAAGGGTAAAAGAAAAAACCCGCGCCCCTCAGTAGCAACAGGCAGTCCCCCACAACAACTTAAGTGCTTTTATTGGGGAGCTTGGGCCCTGGTTCTACCAACTTTAACTGGCAAATATATACTCTCTTCTTACCCTGCCCACGCCCATCAGAACACTTGACTTGGGGGAAGGAGACAACTAGGCTGCGAGGAGCTGACCCCTCTGGATCCGAGCCTTCAGAGCAGGTTGCAAGTATCATCTTATGCACAGGCATACAACACTGTTTTCTTGCGTTGATCTAGTAGTACTGTGCAACAGAAAAAGCTATGCAAACAAACACACCAGTTAGTTAATTCTTTTGTCATTGTTAGTCATATATAGCTAGTGTAGTAGAAAGCGTTTTAATTAAGCATAACCAGCAAAAGCGGGGATGTTTGTTCCTGTGCTTGGAAAGAGTACAGGGATTTGTGAACTAGTGGTGGTCTCAAGCGAGGAGGCCTACTTGTCGATTCTGCGCTCATGTTGCCATGTACAAGTTTTACCCTCGAAGGAAATAAGCGGATGGCGGAAAAATATGGAATGAGACGAGGCATGGCATGCAAGCATTACTAGACCATAAATATATTTTTCCTGCACACAATGGGGCTGCTAAAGTGGGGGCTCTGTATGCTCCAGTTATCCTCAATTAATTTTCGTATCTTGATAGCTAGCGAGACACCTCAGCATGGTTATTAATGCACCAAATGGGAAAAGTAGATCCATGGTACTAGCATTCACAGTAGGGTTTGACCTTGGGAATCGGTATGAGCGAGCACACAGTCCACATCCCGATAAAGCTCGAAAGCAAATGTCAATCTTGCTCTGGAAAATAGCACATTCTGGCATCCTTTGGACTCCACGTGCAGGATCTTGCGATTTGGCTAAACTGGATTTTTGCATCGAACCTCGCTACATTATAAAACTTCCTAGTCATCATAGGTAATATGGTAGAAAGCACGAAGACCCGACTAATTAGTTAGACTCTTCATCGACACGCTAATTGTTGCAGCAGAAGGTCAACTCAAAGTGTGCTCTACACATGAGCGCCCTGCGAGCTAAGGTACACGTGAAAATTTCACTACACTAACCGTAACTACCTGAAAGTCAGCAAAGATTTGACTGAGTGGTGTATCTGTTTGCATACCCTCTTTATTGCAGAGTTCAAGTGGCTTCATACGAAGAGACGCACTGTTGTATGCGTGTGCACCGTGTGCTATGCGGCAGGGGAGGGAGGGCGTTCTTTCGTAAAGCTTAGTAGCATTCATCGGGTTTGCGCTGAGTCTGAAGATCAACGCCTACCTAGGAGACAGAGAAAACGTTCCATGACCCGTGTTTTTGTGCGCTACAGAGCAACGTGCAACTCGGTTAAACTCCTTGGCATGCGTGCTTAGCGGGTGCAGCAACGCACGCACATACGAGTCCTCCACTGTTCCTTCGTGAAGCAATCCTATGGGGTGAGAACACCGAGAGAAGAAGGCTCTTTCGAAGGGCCACCAAAAGCTGTTATCAAGTTTTTGTCTTGAATTTGGGGCGAAAAGAGTGCTCTTACCGACATGACGGAGGGAACGTTACAGCCAGCTGCAACGCATCTACTAACTGCTGCGAGTAGTCTTATTTCGTTGGAGCACTGTAGTGTATGGGCACACGCGATGGGTCCTTGTACGGTGTATCGATCCAGGTCCTCAAAGTATGCTACAGCCAAGAAGCCATCAAACCTATGGCGGGTCATTTGTAATAAGCTTTAGGAATGGGGAAACAGGTTTAATTGTAATAGTAGGCGTGCAATTAGCCGAACTACCCTAGTCTGGAGGCCCCGTGACATAAGAATGCCATCGACAAGGAGACGCACGCTCACTGTCGCCGATCTCTCTAGCTGACGCAGCGGGTCCTACGGTGTGCGTATTGCAGTCGCAACACCCTAACCCAAAAATAAGCCCGTTGTGAGCATGTTGTTATATAGGCCCTGTCTGGCGCAAATGCAGCTACTGTAAATACCGATTTCGTGCCGTGCCCCTCCAGTGCTGTCGTCCTAGAACGCAAGCTAGGGGAAATGGTCAACTGGTCAGTGTTGTGCTGCAGCCCATCCGAGGACCAGCAATTCCTCACAGGAGCAGCAGGTGCCGAAGGGCGTCCCCGAAGGGACTCAAATGGGGGCTTCTAACGGGCGCTTCCCAAAGCAGTTGGCAGTGGCGGGTAAGCACGGGGGGCCTAAGTCCCGTTCCTTGTGCAGGGCTCTGACGTCAGAATTAATCGAGACGCCTTCCTTTCTACCACCGTTTATATATAATATATATATCTATATCCTTCTGATATATGCACCCTGTCAGAGCGCGTGCCTCACTAGCCCTGCAGCTGTATTATCCCGCACCTAGCCGCGAGGGTTCTGGCCGGCGGTACATGGAGGGGTTTGCAGAGGACCTGTCCCCGTGCGTGCCTCTCCTTGGGGCTCCCCCGTACGGGGAAGGGGCCTTCCAGGCCCCAAAAGATTTGGTGGCGTTGGGGTTGAGCCTCAGAGATGGGTGAGAGGAGGGCTGTTGGAGCAGACCGCCTACAGAGGCAAAGGAACCACTCGAATCGCTGTCTCCCTCATCTCCTCGGCTGCCCGCGTATAAAACCAATGCCACTTCTTCCAAGTACATGATATACGGCAGTACATATTTACAAAACAACCGGCGTCTATTCACCTCCAACGTCCTACAGCACAACAAAACAGAGTGAGTTCCGGACAGGCCCTGCATTCCCACATAACGTACAAGATAAAAAACCCTCTCCCCCTTCACGCACAGAACCTCCTCACGCCCTGGAATCGGAAACCTATTAGGCATCGCCAGCAGACAGCCTAGGCCGAACTAGGGATTTACCGTGTGTAGAAAGCTCTTGACGTAAATGCCACGAACATGAAGGAGGTCACGGCTGTGACAAGCAAGCCAGCGTCTCTCTGCTCCGGAAGGAACAGAAAAGCGAACGAGAGGATTACGGCCACAAAGCAGGCAATACATGCCGTAACGAAGGTAGGGTCCCTCATAGCTAAGAAGACAGTCATCTGCAGCAAAGCCACTTGAATTGGACCCGCAGGCCTTGGCGTCAGCACACTCGCCACTGATGAGGCATTTGGCGTAACCAGCATATGCAGCGATTGGTCAAACAGCGGAAACACCAGCCTGAAAAATGCAGAACACACAAAACACAGAATATGCAATCAGGCCATCTGATAATCGCAGGCCCAAAAGAGGGTACTGCTGAGCAGCACATGCAAAGTCATTATTGAAGGCAAAGTCGCCAAATTGCCCGCACGCATGCCTTCATAAATAAAAAAGCATGTAAAAGCAAACGCATCCGTCTGCTTTTAGAGGACGGTCTCCCTAATTGCCTTAGCTTGTGGGAAGCCAAGGGCGCACAGCGAACCCCTGGTGTGCACTGTACGTACACCCCGAGTAGAACCCTAAACCTCAGACGCACTGGATTGCGGAAGCAATGACAAGGAGTCTGCTGAAGACGTATCCATTTCCCTGGCTAAACTTATTCGAGTCGAAGAAGCATGTGTACCACCGTCCGCTGAAAAGGCCGGGGCTAAGAATGGGGAGCAGCACCAGTATCGTCAGCAAGGGTTGCAGCAACAGCCGTATACCCATCAGTACCAGGAACCCCGTGAAGCCGAGTGACGATCGCTAAAAACAATAAACACAGACGCCACACACAAACACAAATAAGAAAGCAGACAAAAGCACCCGCGTTGAGCAGTGCGTTCGTAAGCAGAGGAGCCCCGCAATAACACCCTCCCCATATCGCCCACATACATCTTATGCCCAAGCTCCCTCCCTGCACATCCGCTTATTTACCGGTACCTGTGTGCATCTGCTGTGCATGTGCAAAAAAAGCCTTTCCCTCCCGTCCATACAGCATGCCTCTTAAAATACCACATCCATCCCCGACCCCTAAAGTACACCGTCTCCCTCCCTCCTTCCTGATTTGTGTGTGTGTATATGTGTGTAGATGTATGTATGTATGTGTGTGCATGTGTGTATGTATGTGTGTCTGTGTGTATGTATGTGTGTATGTTTACGTATGTATATGTATGTATGTGTATGTGTATGTATGTGTGTGCAGTCTGTCTCTCAGTCTTTCTCTCTCTCTCTCTCTACCACAGTGCCACCAAAATTACCTCTAGCTCGGCGATGCTCCCTTCTCTGTCAGCAACAAATCCTTTAACTCGCATAAGCGCATGGGCGACAGCTCCGTAGGCAGTCGCAAGGAGCAAGGGGCCGGTAATACGCGCAAGGAATCGCATATTGAAAGCCGAGAGCCACTGGACATACCAGTGCTCTATTTTATCATCCCCAAAGAGGCCGAAGCTGCTCCTTACAGGCATTGCGACATGCACACGCCATGTCGCCTTCTGCATAACCTTTCGACGTCTCCTGCAATTATCTAAAGCCACATCTAACCACGCAACAAGCCGGGCGAGCCACCACGGCATCCGATCGTGCGCTTTCTGAACCAAGTGATACCGCAGGACGCGCGCTTGCCGGTGCTCCAGCGTCTGCCGTCTCCCAAACAAGCCATGCGTGATCTTCCTTGCCTGAGAGACACCAGTATCCCCCGCTGCTCCCAGTCCCTCTTGAATGTGATGCAACGCACGTCGAGCATGGTTCATGCCCGCGAACCGCTGAACTCCGTGCAGCGGCTTGCGGGAAGCTGCCGACACTGCCTCTTGCGCCTTCTCCAGAGGATCTTCCAGAGGCAAACGATCCCCATCCACCGTCTCAGACGACCCCGAAGCCACCTCCCCCTGCGTGATGTACAGCTGTTTACTCCGGGGGAAGCCGCGCGCACTCGTCGAGGCAGCAGCGGCAGCCGAACGACGACTCGACAGCGTAGTCCGCGAACGCAACGAGGAGGGGCCCCTCCACGCCTTCGCTTGCACCCTCCCCGCTTCCCCTTCCGGAGGCTCCCAGAGGTGCGCTGTAGCCTCGCTGTAGAGAAAGCCTGGTGGTCGTCTTCTCAAGGAGGCCCCTTGAGATCTCGCGACACCCCCACACCGGGAGGAGGGGCCCTCACCTTCAAGTGTACAGACACTCGCCAGGGAAGGGGAGGACATCGGGGAGGCCCCTTCTGAGCCTGGAGTTGAGGGAATGATGCTCTCTGACGGCATAGCCCCCCCCACACGCTTCTTCCCGTAACGACTCCTTAGAACACAACGTTTTAAAGGGTCCTGCAGACTTGCTGGAACCCCTCCTCCTCCCTCTTCCACACTGCTGCTGTCACCGTCACCATCCCCATCAACATTCCCACCGCCGCTCTCGCTGCTGTGTAGATACGATGATAAATCGCTGCTCGTATGACTGCTGTCGCTGTCCTTCGGTAGAATTGGCTCCAACTCTGAGGGAGACCTCCCAAAAGAAACCCTCCGCCTGCGATGCTTGCGGGGCCCCCCCCGCCGCTTACGCGGAGGGGCCCCCCACGAGCAGCCTGCAGCTGCACACGCTTCACAGCAAAGAGGCGCTGCCTCTGCAGCCACACCACATCCGCTGCCGCTCCCGCAGTGGCTCCTTCGTCTCTCTGCATTACCGGACTCCTCAGAGAGAGACGCTTCATCACTCTGATGCTGCTGCTGCTGCTGCTGCTGCTGCTGCTGCTGCTGCTGCTGCTGCTGCTGCGGCTGCTGTCGTTGTTGCGGAGGCGAGGCGTTGCAGAACGGATGCAGCCGCAGGTCTACCTTCACAGCGCATGCATCGCAGATGCCTTGACAACAGCAAGCCCCCCCCCCTGCGTCTGCTGCTTCCCCCGACGATCTTTCGGCTCTCTGTTGAGTATCCCCCATGCTTATAGCCTTGGCGCGTCTTGTCGCCCGGATAAAGGCCGCAAAGAAGAGCCGAGGATGAATACGCAACCCCCCTCCTCCTTGAGGCGGGGAAGGCGGGGGGGGCCCACATGGGGGGCCCCCCTCCTCCTCGCAGCTCGGCATGCCGATAGAAACGGGAGGACGGCCACCGTCACTCTCCTCATTGAAGCCAGCGGCTGCTGCAACACCCTGTGCTACAGCAGCCGCTGTCTTCAAGGATCGCGAAGAGGGAGCTGCAGCCGCTAGGGGGCCCCTCTTGTGACAGCTACAGCTACATGCACAGAAAGCAGCCCCGAGACGCATGCCTGTACGTCTATGATACGTGTTTCTCCCGCTGCTGTCACTGCGACTGCCTCCGTCACTGCACTCACTGCCCCCCTCCAACGCGCCGCTGTAGCTGCCACTATTGCTAGCACTGCTAAGTCCGCCTCGACTGGGCACTGCTCGTCTGCTGCTGCTATCGCTGCTGCTTACTTCGCTGCCGCTATCGCTGCAGCCCCCCTGCTGGTAGTCACCTGCAGCCGCTGCTGCAGCTGCCCCTTTCCCGCCTGCCGCTGCTCGCTGCTGTTGCTCCCGCCGTGTCGTTCTCCTGAAGTGCTGCAGCTGCTGGAAAAACCAACGCCGATGGTACTGCATGATACCCTGGATGTACTGCTGCTGTTGCTGTTGTTGCTGCTGCTGCTCCTGTTGCTGTTGCTCCTCCTTCTCCTCTTCGCACAGAGGCCCCTGTGGCTCTGAGGCACACGGCGGGAGGGGAGAAGCGCCATGAAGCGGCTCACTGGCCATTCGCTTGCTCTGCCCTTGTTGCTGTTGTTGGTGTTGTATCTGCTCTTGCTCTTGCCCTTGCTGTTGCTGTTGTTGCACCTGCTCGTGTTGCTGTTCATGTTGTTGTTGCTGCTGCTGGTGAAGCATCCCCTGTGGCCTCTGGCGGGCCGAGTTGAGTGGCGTTTGCATTGGACTGCTGCTCATGCTGCCAAAGGAGGGGCCCCCTTGCTGCATCTTTTGACCCCGCGGCACCTGCGGGAGAGAAAGCGCATGCGGCAGCTGATCCCCGCGTCTCTGTATTTCGGGAGCCTTAGCCGCGTTTTCCCCCTCCTTGCTGGAGACAGCGGGAGAGATCATTGCACTTAAAATGGCAGATCCTGGGGTAACAATGGCTTGCAGCGTGGGTGAGAAGGGGGGTGGCGAGATGCCGCTTGACGCGCCAACATTTCGCGAGGAGGGCGTGGTGGTGCAGAGGGGGCCGTTCAAGTGCAGCGGTGCGTCCTCTTGCAGATGCGCTGCCTCCTTCTTAGTCCTTCTATCCAGATCACCCCATCGAGGAGAGACTCCTGGATCAAGGCGGGTATAGAGATCAGACACCTGCTGGCCCTTCATCACTGCCCTCCTGCCCTGACTCGAGTCGCCTCCCCCGTTGAGAGCGCCTCTGCTCCCCATGCTGCCAGTACTTGCTGGGGAAAAGAAGGCCCCCCGGAAGGGCCCCCCAACCCCCCGAATCTCCTTTCGCGGCGAAAGAAGACTCATTGGCGGATGAGGGCTATGACCTGCAGCGGCAGCACCAGATGCAGCGGAGGGTGTCGCGTTTCCACCCCCCTCGACCACACCTCTGTCGCCGTCTCTTCCAGAAGCAGCCGCTGCAGCAGCCAGCATGCCAGGCCCTGAGGAGCCTAAGGAGCACACCACGTTCGCGTTAGGGGCCCCCTTGCCGCCCCCTCGGGGGCCCCTGCTGCTGCTGCCCCCCCCCCCTCCTCCCCCTCCCACCGCACCTGCAAATCCCTGGGTCCTTGCGCGCTGAGTGTCTCCCGAGACGCTGCGCACGAGGGACAGGCCGTCGGGGGGGCCCCCCCGAGGAGGGGCCCCCCCGGGGCCCCCCGGAGGCGCCACAACCCCGAATAGTGGACAAAAGACAAGCCCGTCCAAGATAGACAGATCTGGAAACTGGTCTAAATGCTTCGCAGGATACTTCTTGTAACGCAGTATGAGGACTCCAAGCTCGTAGATCGAAAAGTAAAACGCGGTCCCCATGAGCAGCTGCACTGCAAAAAGCCCAACATCTACCCAGTCTTCGTTGTTGCACCTTAAAGCGAGAGAAAGCGAGCAGATCGCAAGGCGGAGAACCACTCCAACTCCGAGCCCCATCACCGCAAACGCCACCAGCCACGCAAAAGGGTACCCCGTCAAGATGAAGTAATACGACATCAGCACTCCAGAAAGAAGCCCGACGGCCTCGTTTGTCAGCTGAAGATACATGGTGCAAGCCAGATTCACGATGAGCATGACTGGCATCATGTACGAGTCCACGCTGTACTTACTGGTGCGGAACATCCGAATCACCACAAAACACGCCAACGCCACAACAAACAAAATGGAAGACGAAACAAGAGCCGCCATCGACAGACGCGGCTCGGCCTGCATTTGATCCATGGCAGTCGTGCAGACAAGCACATAAATGATCAGATCCATAAGCGCCACCACAACGGCAAAGTCCTCTGCCCGTAAAACATATGCATGGCGAGAGAGCAGCCAACGCATTCGCATTTTGCTGCTGCAGCGGCTGCTGCTGATGAAGTCTCTCCCCCTGACACTCTTGCTGCTCCTCCAGCGGGAGGTCACCACCCCCACCACCCAGCACCTGCTGCTGCTGCTTCTGCTGCTGCTGCTTCTGCTGCTGCTGCTTCTGCTGCTTCTGCTGCTGCTGCTCCTTGTGCTGCACCTGATGCTGCTTCTGCTGCTGCTGCTGCACCTGATGCTGCTGCACCTGCTGCTGCTGCACCTGCTGCTGCTGCTGCTGCTGCTGCACCTGCTGCTGCTGTGTTATACAGCAAAAGCGACGCATCGGCGCACCCATTGGGGACAGACAACAGACACAAGAATTCCCCAAACGCAGCAGCAGCAGCCGCGGCTGCTGCTGCCGTGTTCTTGCTCTTGTTGCAATCGCTCTTGCAAAGGTGCTCCCGCTCGCCTTACGCCTCCCCTAGAGCTGCTGCTCTGCTCACAACAGCTGGTGAACTCTTGAGCAGGAGGCCACGTGAGCTCGTCCCGCCAGAGATACACGTGCCAGCCACACGCGGCTCAGACGCAACAAAAGAGCAGCTAGGAAGAGGGGGGTTGCTCGTTGCCTGGCTGCAGAAGGCGTAATCGTGAAGGCCCACACGGCGTAGGGCGCGGTGTATAGGGGATGGGGCTTTGGGTGGAGTTTTTAGGCCTGTTGAGCAATCGCACTTTCCCTAGGCTTTACAATTACACCGAATACGAAGAGTCCTTTAGGGAAGACTTCTTGTTGCAGGAGGCGTGGCGGCCCTCCTCCTTCCCCCTGAGGCCGTCTCGGGTAGCAGGAGATCTCCGCGGCAGGAAGAGCGCAGATTGCAGCGGTGGCAGCCAAGACAATCCAGCTGCCCATATACTGCTTCATGCCATCTGACGAAGGAAAGGTTAGAGAAAGAAGAGGAAGAAACACAAATGGGAGTTGCCGGGAGCAGCGCAGTCTAGCAGTGGCAGCAGCGCACCAGCAGCCGCGAGATCAAGACGCTCAGGTAAGTCCAGAAAGAGAGGGCTTAGGGCTTGGGGTATAGGGTTTATGGTATAGCCTTTACGCTGGCCCCAAGGGGTGTAGATGAGGCACGAAGGTGTACTAAGCGGCCTGTGAGTCCTCGCTGTGGCGCTGTAGCTGGCAGCCGCAGCGGCTGCTGTGGCTGCTGTTGCGGTTGTTGCGCCCGAATAATGTTCCCTTGCTTCTTCTCGGTTGGAGGCAATGGGATTTTCTAGCGTTCTGCTCATGAATTTGTCTTCCTTCCACCCGATTATTGCATGATCAGCCTCCTTCCCTTGCTGGAGCAGTCAGCCGTGGCCGCCCGCCCTTCCAGCAGGTGTATGGGGTGTAAAGGCACCAAGGGTAAGAAAAAGAGTCCGGGGAATTCGCGGGGTGCCTGGAGCCGAAGCCTCGAGATTTGGAGCCGAGACAGCACAGAAGTTTGTGCATTCGGAGAGGCCTCCTCGATCCCCAGGCCAAGGCGTTAGAGGAGGAGGGGCGCAGAAGGCATGGAAAACACTGGTAACCCTCTGAGCCCAAGGATCAGCGAAGCATGCAGCCATTCGCTTCGGGAAGAGTGGGCCTGATATGCGCCTTGTGCCTTGTGGGAGGCGCGTGCGCGTTCTCGCACAGGCCGTGCAGCAATGGCAGCTGCAGCGGCATCAACGGCAGCGGCAATCTTCTCGGCGTCTTTGCGGCTTCTGCTGCTCCCGCGGGGACGCTGCCTTCAGTGGAGAAATTCTCTGTCACGCCATCCCTGAGCCTCAGCAGGAGGACTTCGTGCGTTGCCGCTGGCAGAAAACAGGCTGCTGCACTTTCTGAATCGCCAGATGAGGCAAGCTTGGATCTCCGACAGCTGGCGGCAGCAGCTGATCTGTCCGATGCCGAGACTGCTGCGCTCGAGGCCTTGCGCATGGCAAAGCCTTTTTCGCTTCCTCCTCCCCCCCTTCTGCAGCCGCGTGGGCAGCTGCTGTGGGGATTCATGAGTCTACAGCAGCTCGCATACCACTATGCAAGGCATCACGCAGGATACGTCAAGGCTCTCAACTGTACGTCCGCTCGCGTTTAGCCATCAGGACGACCTGCAATGCCGACGTTTGACGCCGTTCAGCCCCCCTGCTGGCCACTTTCTCTGCGCTTTACAGCCTGGTCATGGATGGTGTCTACGTGTGTGTTTGGGGAGTGGTGGCATGCAGCATTCGCAGAGGAGAATCCAAAGCTCCATGGCATTTCGCTCGAAGGTGCGTGTGCAGCGCGAAACTATGTGGCCTACTTTCAACGCGTTCAATATGGCCTTTTCAGAGAGGCTCAGGAAATTGATCGGGGGCCTGTGTTTGCTTGCTCGCGGCGGATCTTAGTGGTGGTGGTAGTTCCTTTGAGCAAAAAAGAAGTCTGCTGCTGGCTGCCCTTTGTTCTTGCTGCTTTTTGTAGAGGCGGTGCAGCTTCTTGGCTCTGACTCCCCTGGCTCCAACGCTTGCGGCCAGCATTTCAATCACACCTTCTTCTTCGCCACGCTTCCTGGTGAAGCCCACGCGCAGAAACCCCTTCGGAAAACAGCCAAATTTCTTCAGAACAGCTTTGGTAGCCATGAGGCTTTTGAGCGAAAGTTCAAGACTGCCGCAACAGGTATGTGAGGGTTGGGGGGCCGAGGAGCACATGCAGTGGTGGCCATCGTTTTGGGGGGGGAGGGGGGCATGGAAGTTTTCTGTGTTTCTGGGTGAGTGTCTGCATGAATGCGTATCTTTGTCTCTGTGTGCATGTAGGACAATGTGTATGCCCGCATGTTTTCATGTATGAATGTGTAAGTGTATGAATGTATGTATGACGACGCTATGCATGTCTACGTGTATGAATATATGTATGACGACTCTATGTATGTATACGTGTACATTCGTATCCCTGTATGTATGTATATGTAGCTGCATGTGTGTGTGTGTATGTTTGTGTATGCGTGCATGTACGTATACGTGTATGCCTTCATGTGTGGATGTATGCCTGGTTTGACATGTCTGTATGCCTATTCATCTATGGGACTTTACGGCGCGTGGTGGCGATGCCACGTCGCACAGCATATCACTAGCCATCCTTGTTACTCATGGCGTGAACTGAAGAGCTTGCTTTCTAAGTGCTGCTTTCGAGAACTGAGATGTCTGTCTGCAGGCCACGTGGGAAGCGGGTGGGTTTGGCTAGCAGTTGGGATAGACGGCGGTGCGGAGATCGTTGAGACACACGATTGCATATCCCTCTTGTCTGAGCGGCCTGACCTCACCCCGCTCATCGTTATTGGTGAGTTCTTGTTGGGGTGTGGGGTTTCGGATTGAAGGGGGGCCCCACCAACTTAGTGTGCGCCATATATGACTTGTGATGTGTCTGGATCCACGATTTGACGGTCGGGCTTGTGGTTTGCAGACGTGTGGGAGCATGCGTATTACTTGGACTACAAAAATGCACGCGCTGCCTATGTGGACGGTGAGGAAATTCGCCTGTTTCTGCTCATGGCACACGCGTTCACTCGCACATTCGTCCTCTGTGGCAGCTGGGCAGCCGTCTCCCTCGCCTTTCAAGCTGTTGCAGCAGTGCAGCTGGACAATGTTTGAGAGTTACTTGGGTAGCCGTTTTCGCGCACAGCCTGCTGAACACTTCTTTACCTTCACCAACGCAGGGTCTCTGGGCGTATGAAGTACCACTGTTTTCCCGCATTTATTTACATATATTATCTTTTTGCGCGTATTTGTACGTGTGTTTATTTTTGTGCGTATTGTTTGTTGTATACATCTGCGCCTACAGGCTTCTTACGGGCCATAGATTGGGCTGTTGTGGAAAAACGCCTGGCTCAGGCGGAGAACCGGAGGCGCAGCGTGTGATTCACGTGTTTCCTTACACCTTGCCCTTTTTAGTCAGCCATATATTGAGGCATAAGTTTAAATGTCCCAGAACAAGGCGGGGCTTGCTGCAGATTTACATGTATAGGCATCGAGACTTTACAGATATACACGTACACCGAAAGGGGGACTTGGAGGTGTGTGTAGGAGTTTCGGCAGCCTGGATATCCATTTTCCGCTCTTTGTACAGAAGCAGTACACTCCTTTTTCGATTCACTGCTTTACCAGAAGGCATTTTACTGCATCTTCGTTATTAGCGGTGTAAAGTTGTGCAGTGCACGGCTTACCACATGTGCAGCAGTCTGCATGATACGTTTTCAGCTGGGATGGTTACGTATGGGAGGGCAGGCTCTTTTCTCGTGTGGCTTCCATGCATTTCGGGAGCGGCCTTTACAGGGGGCAGTCCTTCCCTTATCGTGTATTCAGTCCTAATGCTTTTTGTGTAGATCTGCCAGGCTGTCCATAGGTGTCGTCTGCCAGGGCGAGTGTGCACTGCGTGGTATTATCGTGCCTTCCCCTCCACGCGCAGTAGCTGTTTCGGGTCCTTTATTCTTCTGTACGACCGCCTCCCAAGGCAGCACGAGGCGTGTTGTCTTTTGCACATGCCCCGCATGCAACCGCGCGTTTGTGTCGGGGCATGCCGGTAGAACATGATGGATGAGTGATATATTTATGTATATATATGTCGCAAGGTATGTGCATGTGCCTTGCGATTCTACCTGTATTTGTTCACACCTGCAGCCAAACGGGTTGCATGGTTTTTTCTGAGGGTACGAAATGCCATGTGCACGAGGCGTGCGCATCGCGCTGCAGAAACATGGACCTTAGGCAGAGCTGTGCGGTGGGACGGCTACGACAACACGACATACATGTACACCTGAATTTGAGCTTCTATACGATAGTCTGCTACTCATTTGCAGGTGGCCAATCATGACGCCGCCATGCGCTGGAAATATTCGTTTCTGGGCTCTTTTCCTCTGGGGCTTTAGAGCCCATACTGTAGGCGTCATAGGATCTGTACCTTGTGGAGAGACCTAGTGGTCACTGTGTGTCGAAAATTCGAGGAAGGCGCTCGCTGCCATCTTGAGCGGGGTGTCAATGCAGTGCCGCACGAACCACTGCGCGGCTGTCATCCAGCAATCAGCGTGGGTGCTCGTTGATCAAAGTGACCCGCAAAGGAAGACTTACTAAGCAGCAGCGGTCAAATGCCGACTGGTTGCGAAAAGAGAAAGATGGACGACGAGGGTATCGATCCCTCTACCTCTCGCATGCTAAGCGAGCGCTCTACCATTTGAGCTAGACGCCCTCGTCGGGGCCTCCCAGAGTATTCAGGACGTTAGGTGAAAGCATCTTGAAAGTTGCGCTTCTGCCTCAATTTTAAAATGAATTATTTGTTGTTTTGAGCTGTGTTGTGCTTCATGGCGAGGCAGCGTCAACAGCGACTAGAGCCCTTGGCGCCGTATACTCACCCGCCTCCCTGCAGGAGCTGAGAACCTATGAGTTTTAGGCCCATGAAGAGTGCGACAGCGACTTCTGCATACTTTATGCGCATTTACGTGTACCTCTAGTGTTTGAGACACCACCCAATTAATTTATTCAGGCAGCTCGCTTTTCTGCGGCCTTTTCTCTGCGTGGACCTTGGGAATCGTGCGGCCGACAGGAAGCGCTGCACGTGCTCGCTGTCGCTGTATATCTCCGCCCTTTTGGAGTATAATGGCGTGAGAATCTGAAGGATCGGGGAAGGCCCCCGACCCTCCCTCCCAGGATCTCTCGGCACGCGGTTCCCCCTCTTAACGCCGGCAGAGCCTGCCCGCAAAAATGGGGAGAGGAGGAGGACACACAGTCAAATATAGGGCTGTGGGGGTGCGCTTTTGCAGCATGCTGCAAAGGATGGTGCAGACTGCAGCTGCACCCCGCCACGCAGCTTTTCGGAAGACGGGTTCATTCCAACCTTGTGCGTTGAAACATGGAACCCCTCAAGACTCCAAGGCTAGCAGCGGCAGTGCCTCTGCATCCTTGGCGTTCCAGAGAGAAACTTCCCACAGGTTCGACTTCCGCTGCTTCTCCGTTGCTCTGCAGCAGCAGCTACAATGTCTAGCGGTCCGCGCTGCAGCGGCCAATGCAGCAGCAGGGCATGCAGCGGAAGCTACAGCAACAGGAAAGTGGCTGTCTGCCTCGCGCAGCAGCTCAGAAAGGCACCTACGATACCTCGACCAACTCTCTAGGAGCGCAGTGGGCCTCTTGGATAACGCAGCTGCTGCTTCAACACCAGCGCCTCCTCTGGAAGCGACCAGCGGCGTTCCGGCTGCGGCTCGCTCGAAGCTCTCTTGGCTCGAGGGTGTATTGCCCTTGCTGCAGCAGCTAGCCACTGCTGCGCTGCCCCCTCGGCAGAAGCAGCAACTCCTGCTTATCCAACGAGTGCACCTGATGCTGCAGGAACCGGAACTGCTGCTGCAGTTGACTCCCTCTGCCGCTGCAGCAGCCGTTGCTGCCCTAACTGGCCTGGGGCTCCTTCAGAGTGCTGCAGCTGCAAGTGGAGCTGCTGCCGCGCTGCTGCAGCATGTCGAGGCGATTCCGCCACTGCTGTTCATGCAGGCAGCAGCAGCACTAGGGCCTGCCTTGCAGCAGCAGCAGCGGAGACAGCTCCAGAAAAAGCTCCAGCTCCAGACACTGCGGCTCAAGAAGGGCATGGAAGAGGGCGGCCACGTGATGCAGTGGCTGTACACCCAAGCCGCTGTGGGAGGTCTTTCAGCGTGCGAGGGTGAGCAACTGCAGCAGAAGCTGCTGCACGGCTTGCAACAACGGCAGCTGGGGGCCTCTGAGTTGCTACATGCAGCAGCAGCAGCTGCAGCTGCTGCCCACTCCCGTTATCCAAGCGAGATGCTTGTGGTGCAGCTCTCTCGGCACTTTCTGCTGAGGCTCGGAGGGGCTGATTTGCTGCAGAGGAAAGACAACCACCAACAGCATGCAGAATTACCACCCCAGCCAGTGCTGCAGCAGCCTCAAGTGACGGAGATTCTGCTGCAATTTCTGCTGATGCAGCGCTTTGGTGCTCCAGGAATGGAGGGCTTTCCTGTGGCCTTCTGCGTGCATGCGGTTAGTGACTTGCTGCCATACTAGGTGACCTCTCAACTACTGGGGCTGCTCCTATTATACCGCTGAGTGCTCTCTGCGCGCTTCGCGAATTACGTCTTGAGCAGCTTCTTCCTGCGGGGGTGTCAATTTCGCAGGTGCTCCTTCCTTCTCTGCCGCGACTTCCTGCTGCCACTTTGCTGCGGCTGCTGATGGGTGCACTGGAGCTGCTGTCTCCGTCTGCCCCTCGCCGTGTACTGCGACAGCGGGAAAAGCAGCAGCAGAGCTTTGAGGCTTTGCTGCTACTGGCGGTGCATGCAGCTGAGACGGTTGCTGAACGGCACGCCTCGCGGCTGCAGCAGCAGCAGCTGGTTGTGCTCATGAAGGCCCTTGCTTACTTGGCTCACACTTCTGCTTCAAGCAGTGCCGATGCGTCCGGCAGCTCCAGCAGTGTCACCCTTAGCACTGCCCTCCTGAGCGAGCAAAGAATGCGACTGAGGAGCTGCGCTCTGAGAGCATATCCATCGCGTCTAGCTTTTGTAAGAGGCCCAACTCTCCCCCGATGGCAAGTGGAGCTGTAACAACAGCAGAAAATAAGCCACAGCTGCAGTAATAGCGTGCTATGTTGGTCTGCTTTGCCCCCTGGTGTCCGTTCTTGTCTGTCTGCAGGCTGCGAGCAGATGTGTTACCGAGGTGACTAGACACTTGGCGCTGCAGACGGCTTTTCTGCTGCAGCCGCAGCGACTGGAAGACGCGGCAACAGCAACGGCAGCAGCAGCAGGCAAAGGGCTTTCTGCAGGAACTGCGACTGCGGCTACACTGATTCTTTTGGCCTCTGATAGCCCCCCCAACCGTCATAACAACACTGGCACCTCGGCAATACGGCAAGCTGGAGAGGTTGCTGTGGTACTTCTAAAGGCTTCATGCAGCCTTCTGCCCCTTCTGGATATCGGAACTATGTCGCTGCGAAAGCAGCAGCAGGCTCAACAGCACCAACAACAAGCACAAGGAGCCCTGCTACCACTACTGCAGCAGTTGCTGCCCCTGATTGCGCATGCGGTGGCTCATTCCGCCTGCCCTGCTGTGGCCACACCGACGACGGAAGCAGCTGCAGCAGGGGATGCGTTGGGGGAGGCAGCAAAAACAGCACAAGGTGCAACACAAGGCCCATTTTCAGCGAGCAGCAGCCTGGCCTCCCTTGCTGCGGATGCTGCTGCTGCCTTGCTGTTGCGGCTGGCGATGGCTCTTCCCGTAGCAGCGGCTTTGCAGGAGAAGGCCCCCCTCCTCTTGAGATCTTGCCAACAGCAGGTGCATGAGACCCTTGAAGAGAGACCTTCTTCAGGGTCTTTTTTGGAGCACCAGGATTGCGGTAGCTCAATGCAGACAAGACTGAGTATGCACGGAGCTGCGTGCGAAGCAGCTGCGCTGCTGTCGCTACTGCTGCAGCAGCTGCAACTCAGGCCCCTGTCACGTGATGCAGTGGCGCACAGCGCAAAGGCCCTAGTAGGCAGAACCCTATTTGCCCAGTCTCTTTTCTCTTCCTCCCTCCGTTGCACATCTGCGATAATGGCGGAGTCTCTCAGATCAAAGACTCCTCCTAGGTGACAGGGCGGTGTGCGTGACTTTGCTAGCAACTGGGTGGCTGCTGCACGCGACATCTTCCTTTCCATTTGAGCGTTTTACGCTCTTTGTGCGCTGCTTTCAGGCCTCTCTGCGAAGCCTTATAGAGGACTCTGCTCTTCGCCAAATAGTGGCAGCTTGCAGCCTGCAACGCAATTAAGCTGCAGTAAAGAGGGTGCCGAGACAGGTGCTGATACTAATACCCTTGCAACATGAGGCCCCGAGGATGCACTCAGCTCTTGGGGGGAAATGTGGGTCGCACGGAGGCCTACGATCAGCTCTGCGGCAGCCCCCCATCGCATACTGCTCCATCTACGGTCTCACCAGTGTGACAAGTAACTGCTGACTGTGCTCAAACTCTCTGCAAAGCCATCGGGTGTTCTTTTACATGCATTTTCATACGAGATCCCCGCGGCTCTGCCCACGCCCTCGGGGTTCCTAAATGAGGCAAGAGGGTCAGCTACGGTGCGCACTGCTGCAGCACCCTTTAAGACCTCAGAGCGAACGCAGCTAGTAGCGCATTGCGTACGGTGCACACGCATAGAGCTTTGTGTCTTGTTGTGTAGAGCAAACAGGGCTCTGCATTGCAAAAGATACACAACCGTTACACACAGTTGATTGCTTGTTAGATTTAGCATAATGGTTTCAATAGGAAGTGCTCGAGTGCAGCTTAGCCCGCTTTACAGAGGACACGGTCTGGGAAAGGCCACTGCCTCCAGCTGGTTTTGCAACATATATTTGAGGCCCGCCCCCAAAACTAAATTGGAAGCGGCAAGCAAACGCGCGGTGACTCAACACAGTCAGGTGCCGGCTCCTGAACGGATTCGAGGGTGGGAAGAATGTGTCTTTCGAGAAACGTCCTTCTTCTTAGGGCTTCTATTCCTGCTAAGTCCTCTGCATACACCTGAAAGGGGTACCTCCCTCCCCACGGAAGCTTTGCTTTCTGCTGCGAAGGCGCAGCAGAAAGATGCTCCAGCCCGGGTTTGTTGCTGCCCGTTCCACTATAAGTACACTTCGATACATATTTGCAGTATGTGTGTGCGTGTGTGTGTGTATCTGTCTGTCAGTCTGTTTGTGCTTGTCTCTGTGTTCCAGTGTGTGTGTCTGTGTGTTAAAGTGCCTTAAAGCCCGTGTGAGCTGCCATTTGGGAGAGCGCATCCCCCTCACATGAAGTAAATGCAGAGGAGTTTCTGCATGAAACGTGTGGAAGGCGGAAGGCCTAGGAGAACGCCCCTTCGCGTACGGCGGCCCTTCAGGCAACAACTGCCCAGGGGACGACGCCGAGGTGATGAAACGCTCATGGACGGCCCCGGATTATACGACCCCTAATCCAAATCTAGAAATTAATTGCCTTCCTAATGAGACTGCACGCTTTCTTCATGATCGACGAACCTAACCCCTTGCGATAACGTCCGGGTTGCGTCCTGCTCGCAGCGTAGTCGCTGTGAGGAGCGACCGCCAGGCATGCCATGCCACTGGGCAGTGCCTCCACTGCCGTGTTTTTTTCGCGCGGTCGTTATTTTTCAGTGACACTTCTGTCATTACTGCAATGCAGCCTTGCTTGTGGAGTCTTTTTGCAGCTCCTTTCCCTCGGCGGACTCCCGCTGCACTTGCATACAGCGCGTACCCGCCGTTGTGTGACCTGCTCTCCGTTGCCTGCCGAGGAGCGGCCGCCTGCTACCTGGCAGAAGGGCTTCCTTGAAAACGCTGGAGGGGTATCAGGGTCTTTAAGGCATTGATTCAGCTACACATGGACCATCAACGGCAGATTCGTACGCTGCACCTGCCTACCCGTTCACAGGCGCTCTCACTCACGCGCCGACCGCATCAGCACTTGCCCGAACCGCCACCACTACCCAAGAACTCCAGGGCCCTTCCCACCGCCCCTGTTACTGCTTGAACAGGTGCAGCAGATGAGATGCAGCGCTCAGTAGAGATCTCCGCACGCAGGCCTAGACAGGGGCGCAGGACGCGCCGCAGCGAGCAGCAAAAGCAGCAACAAAAGCAGCAACAAAAGCAGCAACAACAGCAGCGGCAGCGGTGCATTCGCCCCTCGTTCCTGCCCTCACTTGGCGGTGACAACGACCCCTGCTGCTGCCCGGTGTGTTTACCCATCCCCTACGACTGCGACAACAGCAACCACGCGCAGCATCCGCGTCAACAGCCTCTGCTTGACGCAAAGGCTTCAAGTGAGGAGGGCCTCTTTGATACTGCAAACGAGGGAGAGACAGAGGAAGACAGAAAGAGCACAGACACCACAAATCGCCTACTGTCGGTAAAGTCATCAGTGGCAGCGGCGCCCTCCATTAGCAGAAGAAAAAAACCTCAAAGCAGTAGCAGTTACAGCAGTAGCAGTTACAGCAGTAGCAGTTACAGCAGTAGCAGTTACAGCAGTTACAGCAGTATCAGTAGCAGCAGCAACAGCAGCAACACTGGCAGCCTGTCTAGCAACGCTAGCAACGGCTTCATTCATGCTGATTCCTCTGAGTACTACACACCGCGCTCAGAGGGCATGCACTCCCATGAGCAGCCGCTGGAACGGAGGTCTCCACAGGTGGAGATCTCCGTTCCAGCGGCTTGCCGCGACTCCTCCTGTGAAGCGCAGCGGCTACCTTCGCCGCTGCAGCAGCAGCAGGATGCCAAAGCAGAGGAGGAGGAAGGATGGCAGCAACAGGGACGTAGACGCTATCAGCATCAGCAGCCATGGAGGCGTCAGCAGCAGCCAATACCCCCGACAACGGCTTGCATCAAAAGCCACCCCTCCAAAAGCAGATTTCTAGGGGCATGCGAGAGCTCTCATACGACGCACATACACGAGGCACAGACCTTGAATGCAGCTCAAAGGCCAAGGAGAATGCTTACAGAGAAGAAAATGGCAATTCGCAGCAGGCATTGGGGAGTTCCCGCCCTTACGAGGATGAGTCTGCATGCTCATGAAGACGGAGAAGACGTGGGTGCCTCCTGGCCTTCCCTGGAGGCTGCTGCCACCATTGCATGCGCTGCAGCAGTTGCTGCTTCGGATCCTGCTGCTGCTAGGAAACGCGAAGAGGAACTTTCGTTCTCTAGTCATGCCAAAAAAAACAGATCCTGGAGCTCACCAGCGGCAACAGAAGCTACTGAGTCTGCTGCTGCCGCTGATTATCCATATCAAGGGCGCCTTTGCATTTCTCCTGCTGCGTTCCCTCTGATGAAAGCGGCGGCAGCAGCGGCAGCCGCAGCTGCGGACGAAGCAAGAACTACAAGAGGCAATTCAGCTGATGATGCAGACACTGCCCTGCCATCTCCCACAGCGGAAACAGCCGCTGCAGTAGGCTCAGCGCTAGCAGACGCAGCGGCAGCAAGCGAGCTCACAGCCAAGGCAGCCGCCGCTGCTGCAAAAAACGATGCGAACATTGAGGCTGCCGCAGTCAAGGCAACAGAAGAATTAGCCGCGGAAAGACACACTGCACCAACAAGAGCTGCTGCAGCAGAAGATGCAGCTGCAGAGAGAGAAGATACAGAGCGGGCAGCTGCAGAGAGAGAGGATGCAACAAGCGCAGCTGCAAGGACAGTAAATATCGCACAGGCAGCAGCAGCAAAAGCTGCATCAGAGAAGGCGTCTGCTTTCGCTTTTTTTGCGGCAGCAGAAGGGGCGAGAGCTAAAGGAGCAACACTCAAAGCAGAAGTAGCCGCGGCTGCCTCTGCGCATGCAGTAGCTGTTGGTGGCAAAGTATTTCCTGCTGCGGGAGCTGTTGCTGGTGCTGCGAAAGCTGCGGAAGAGTTGGAAGCAGCAGCAGCTGCCACTTTGGCAACAGTCCGCAGTGTAGCGGACGAGGCGGTTGCAGCAGAGGTAGGTAAAACACACGACGCTGCACTAGGTGTCACTGCAGCAGCAGATGCGGCCTCTGCCGCCATTCTCGATGACACAGAGGAGCTAGCGAGACTAACCAAAACAGCAGTAGCAACTCCTTCAGCGGCATGTGCAGCTCCCGCAGACGGAGGCGTGGTGGGAGCCACTCCAGGAGGGCTTCTAGCGGCATCACAAGAGAAAGCGCAGCCGGAAGCAGCAACCTCCTTAGCGGAAATAGCAGTACCACCACCAAGAGAGTCCACAGCTGCAGTTGCCTGCGACGGATATACAGTCTTCAGCAGCAGCAGCAGGAGCAGCCTTAGCAGCAGCAGTGTGACTGTGTGGGAGGAGCCGGGCGCTCCACGCGCAACAGCAACACAGATGGCAGCCACGGAGGTCGATGAGAGCAGAATGAGCAGCAGTCTCATTGTTCTGCCGGCGCCTTTTGACTGGAATTTCAGCTACGAAGAAGGGGAAGCAGCAACTTCTGCCGCAGCGGCAGATGCGGCAAGTAGTACACCCTTGCCGTCTGAATGGCTTGCCATCCGCGTGCAGCTGCGCGGAAGCTACACGCCGCTTTCTTCCGAGTTGTCGCCCTTCCTTCCCGTTGCTGGTTCTTGCGCTGCTGCAGTTAATGCAAGCAGCAGCAGCAGCTGCTGCAGCAGTTCCACGCCCACTCCTGACTCGAGATGCGGCTCAAGCGGAAGTCTCGTAGATGCTTTTTCTGCAGCCTCCGCAGTGGTGGCATCAGCAGCAGCTGCCGCCGAGTGGCTCCCGCTACCTCCGCAGTGTTACATAGACGCTTGGATGCAGCCCACAGCCACGGAGGGTTTGCCCGTGCTGTTGCTGTCATCTCAGCGGCAGGCCGCTTCGCAGCAGCTCCCTCCGCGTATCGCTGCGGCAGCGGCTGCCTCCCAAGAGGCAAGAGCCGCCGCTGCACCTGGGCAGGGAGAGCATGCCCTCGCTGCTTCCCTCACAGCTGAGGGGGAAAGAATCGTCGCAGAAGCGGCGCATGCATCGCCTGTGGGGGACCTGGTGCTGCCCCCTGTGAGGCGGTGTGTTGTCGTGAACACCCTTGACAGTGGTCTGCTGCTGCTGCTGCGGCAGCAGCAACACGTTGTGCTGCAGCTACTGCGGACGGTGGAGCGCCTGCAGGAGCAGCAAGGGCGGCAGCCGCAAAGGCCAGCGCTTCAGGTGTACGTTCACCTCGGCAACGTCTTCGGGAAGCGCGAGTCGGAGAAGAGGCTGCCGTCGGTGGTGTTGCAGCACATGCAGCAGCAACAGCAGCAGGACCAGCAGGAGAGGGCTTCCCAGCACAAACAGCAGCAGGTGCTGCTTGCACGGACTATGTGGAGTAAGCTGCTAAGAAAACTGCAGCGCAGCGGCAGCAGGTGCAGCAGCAACAGGAGCTGCTGTTGCTACTGCAGACGCCGCGAGGTGCAGAGGCAGCTCTCCGCAGAAACGCCGCTCGCTAGTGAGGGAAACCTTTCCCACCTTCTCCACACCCAACCTGCAACAGGAAAAAACGAGAGGTCACCGCAGCTTCACCGCTGCCAGACCGCTTCCAGGTGCCTCGGCGAAATACGAAAGGGCAGCGATGCAGAGTCTTTGAGCGCTAGTACTTCACCTTCCGCGGCAACAGCAACAGCTGGTGCAGGCAGTAGGGAGTGGGTTGAAGAGCAACACAGTTGCTGTAGTGGTTGGCGAAGCCTCGGTCGTGTTGCTGCTCCCGTCGCCTTGGATGAGGTTGGTGTATATCTCTTGCAGCGCTGCTGGTGCGCTGCCGCGGCTGCTGCTCCGTCTAATGAATGCAGTGCCTAGGCTTGCTGCTGCAGCTTTGAAGGATAGTCACCAGGTGGCAGAAAGCAGCACGCGTTACTCGGTGTTGCTCCCTTGGGCATATTAAAGTGTTTCGCCCCCCTACAGGCTGCAGGCATATGGTATGAGAATTCCTCCTGGTGCGTAAAGCGTGTCTGCGTAAAATTCTTTATTATCCACCAAGAGCACAAAAAATTGTTTCTCCAAAGGTAAACGCAACAGTCCGTCCCCTCCTAGAAATGGAAAGCCAATCTCGTGCTAGTCGGGAAATCCTGGTTGCTAGGCTTCCTACGTTGGCTTAAATAGCAACTCACCTTATCTATGCGGCTCACCGAGTCGGTAAAGAGCCTAGAGTGACCTTCCTTCCAATTATACCCTCAGTCTCTTCATGAATTCACAAGTCAACTTTTTTTCAAAACGCGCATAAGAGCTACAGGGACTCAGTTAGAACGTAGGAGAGAATACCAGAGCGCGGCAGCAGATGCACTACGCCACGCGCGACACACCTGAAGCCGCCAAACGGTGGAAGCATGAGAGGGTGCATGCATCCGTGCATACACATACATACATATTCACACGTACATATCTACATATACGTACACAGATCTACACAAATGTATATATAAATACATGTACACATAAATATACATAAATCCATTCATACATGCATGTACATGGATAAATACATACATACAAGCGCACGCAAACTTGCGTAAAGTACTTCTGCTACTTAGGGCCTCAACCTATATATTTCCATGTATATACAGATCCCTACAACTTACAGTTATTGGATGTGCACAAAAAAGAATGCGCATGCAGATGCGTAGGCAAGCAAATATGTGTGTGTATGCATCATATACTTTCTCATGTTGTCATGCTTGCCTTTAATCGTACCCAGGCTGAATGGCCTACGTCAATACACTGCGCGGGTCAGCCACGCGGCATACACTTGTGCATACCTCTGTGCCCTATGCATGTGCAAGTACGTACGTACAGCGCTGTGAATGCCTGCAGTAGAATAAGGGGATGCGTATATACCACTGGATACTGCCAAAGCCTGCCATGCCAATTGTTTGGGGGGGAGGCGGGGGGTGGCTGTGCGTTTGTGGGTGCGTGTGCGTACATTCGCGCGCCCATAAAGTTTTCCGGAGAGCAAACGGAGAACGTAAGTGGACACACATCCTAATAGCGTGCTGCGAATAAAGCGTTGTACAGTTTTTGTTATAAGCTTGCTTGGAACGCGGTGTATACTAAGTAAGACAATTTCATGCAGTCTAATTCCCTTTCAGGGTAGGGAATGACGTATGTGGAGGAAAAGAAAGGGCACCGCACGTGGAGCCACGAAGATTTTGAATACTCCGTGAGTCCGCACAAAAGAGAGGATACAAGCAGAACCTCATCGCAGACAGAGCCGCTTCCTCAGTGCCAGGAGAGAAGCCACTCCTTTGGCAGGGCACAACGCCTCCCTAGTTAAGGGGCACGAAAAGGGCGGATTCTCCGAGAAGCCGAAGAAGAGACCGCTCTCAGCCGACCATCAGTCGTTTTCGACCGCGCAAGCGAACTGCATGCAGGGAAGCACACACGCCTGCCCTTGCAGTGCATGCATGCATGCATTTGCATCCCCTACACTTCAGACCTTTCCAATCGACGCCCCAAACGCTACCTCGCGCGCGTAACAACGTCCCCCACCCCACTTCAGTGCACCATGCGCATGTACGGGACTCCCGTACCTGCGTCGAGGCGCGCTAAAATCGCGTTTGCTCCGTTTGCATGCATCTTGTATGCCTTCAAAACAGCATCGAAAAAGGAGGGAATCCACGAATGAGCACTAGAGACGGCTCGCTCGAGCACAAACAGGTCCACCGCCTTCTCCTGTACACACACGGAGGGGTGCAAAGCCAGGAGAAAAAGTAGCAAAGGGCAGAGGATGAGAGAATCACATCTATGCGTATGTGCTGCTCGAATTCCACACTCGCATAAACCACCACAAATGACGCTGGCATCCGAGCTGCACATACACAGCGACACTAGAACATGACGGAGAAAAAAGAAATGATATCTCTGCAAAGAAAAGTAGGCCCACAGACCTCGCCGAAACTATGTGAACGCAGCTGAAAGCACCAGGAGGAAGAGGATCCAACTACAGACAAAGGTACTCATGAGATGAACGTGAACTGCTGGTAGCATTTTGGCACAGAAGCTCGAAATGCGTAGTCGGCAAATGAGAACGGGTACAGCACGCAGAGCGAGAGAAAGCAAGGTGGTCTCATGCAAATGCGCAGTGCATACAGGGGGGACGAAGAACGTGTAGGAGAAAAGGGAGTAAGGACACAGTTGGGGAGAAGAAACACGGAGGGAGGGAGGTTTAGTGATCGACCGAGGCGAAGAGAGGGAGAGAGAGACAGAAGGATGCGCGAGAAAGAAGCATTCGAATTCGGCAGTGCAGGAACAAAGAAATCATGCCTACCCGTTGCACCCCAGCACACACACCGACGTGCAGAGGCACCGACATGGCTGCAACAGCGGCCGTAAAGAAGCACAACAGCAGACGCGAACCTCAGCGACAGAGGATGTAGCACTTAGCCCGAAGTCAAGGAGACAGAGAGAGGCCTCCTTCCCTGCGAGCAGCAGTTGCAGCACTTGCTTGGCTGCCGTTATTGTTGCAGCGAGTGCAGCAGGGCCTAAGCTGGCTGGACCCCTTCCCTGCGCCTGAGCTTCCTTTGCAGCAGCAGCAGCTGCTGCTGCAGCTGCTGCACAGGGGAACGCGGCGGGATCTGATGCCGCCTCGAGGGTCGGAGGGGGACACGTAGAGCGGAGCATCATATTGGATGTAGTTAGGTCGCCATGTATGATGCCCGCATTGTGCATGCGCGAGACAGAAGCACCAACGGCAGCCCCAACAACTGCAGCACACCGGCATGCAGGCGCAGACGCATACATAATAAGTCGTGGGGAACCTTGCGTGGTCGTGCTGTTTGCGTCGATGCCACGGGGGCTGTATGGCAGAAAAGGAGCTAGAAGGTGGGAGTATAGGGAGCTAGGCGGTACACTGTGCTTAGAATGGTGCACATGGAAAGCCGATCTGCCGTCTTGCGAACTAACGGGGAAAGGCACCTTCAATTATTCGATGCCGCTCTGCTTCCGAGCAACACGATTCTTGTGCTCGATCTGCTAAGGCCCCCCCCCCCTCCTCTGGAGGAGGGGGGGGGGGCCTTAGCAGATCGAGCACAGCCTTGACAGTGCAGCCCTCTACCCATTCCATAAGTATGCGTCCACCGCTTGTTTCGGCAGTTCCTGCGACGCGAGGAGCACCAAGGAAGTAGGCGTCACCAGCATCCTCCGGAAGAAGCGTGCTCGTCCTGTCTCCGACTAGAGGTGGCGCTGCAAGGGCAGCGTCTACAAGGGGGGCCCCCCCGGAGGGTTCAAGAGGCCCTTGAGGGGGGGCCTCCTCCACTCGGAGGATGTGTGGGACGTCCACACCGGCCTTGCGACACCTGAGCATCGCTCTGACTTCCTGCTGCAGCCGCTGGCGCTGCAACTGCCGGTCCAGCGTGGGGTGTACATACGGCCGAGGTCTGCGGTGCTTGAGGAGGCAGAAGGCGCGGGAAAGGAAGGGAACCAAGAAGAGCCGCTGAAGCATACGAACAGCGCACAAATCGTACAGGCCACATGCGAAGGAAGCAGCTATGCAAAAGCTGCACCCTCCTCCGCGCCCGACACGTTGGTGCATGTCGCGAGGCGCGAGGAAGGAGGCTTTGCCCTTCCATTTTCAAAGTGCCTTTTACAAGCGGATTAGGAGGCATCGAAGGGACAATCGACACCCGTACGCTCTAGGGGCCCTTCGGCGCTAGCAAGGGGCCCCGTATGGCCTTCATGTGTTAGCCGCTTACGGCCTCAGCGCCCTCAAAAATGAGGACTCCTTGAGCCTCTAGACTCGCCGTGGTCATCCTCTAAAGGCCTAACTGCAAGGCGCCATGTGAGGAACCACAGAAACCGCCGAGGCGGACGCCGATACAGTCGTCTTTGCGGATTTGTCGCCTCCAGTATAAGATGTTGGCCAAAGCTATCGAAGGAAAACAAGGAGGCGGCAAGAACCACACGAACAAGAACCGAAAAAGCTGCTTGTAGACCCCCGGGATACTCCTCCTCTACGGAGGGGGGCCCATGGAAGGGCCCCTGTGGGGGGGCCCCTCCCTTGCATGTTGGCAGCGCAAGACAATATTGTCGCACAGAATAACTCCTAGACATGCTGCTGCACGAACTTGATGAGGCTTTCCTCTGAGACTTCGTTTTTATTTGCAAAGGCATCGTGTGTAAAGCCAAGCCATTGCTGTACGGTGCGTTGGAAAACCCCAACAGCGGTTGTAGTGTATGTACGCGAAGGCCAGAAACACTAACGCACACACACACACCCTTGCGCTTCGAACGGAGTGCCGTGTTCATGAGTTTTCGTCTGCCGCGGTCGGGTGTATTTGAGAACCTCACACGAATGCATTTTGGCACTGATAGCCCCACTAAAGTGCTTCCGTTGCGAACGCGCAAAGCCATGCTCCCCAAAGAAAGGCCGCCAACAGCCAAAGATATTCGCAAGCCTCGCTCTGTTTCGCATGCGTTAGAGGCAAAGGCGCCCCTTTCTCGAAGCCCTAAGCGGCTGAACGCAGCGTTCACCTTCTCCCCTCTTTTCCCGCAGCTGCAAACCGTACTGACCGATTTTCGTACAGCTTCGCGAGCAGCTTAAGATGCAGCTGATAGGCTGTGCACCTTGCTGACTCGTAGTTACTTTGGGGGGCTCATCATAAAAGGTGGTGCGCTGTATACAAAATCCCACCGCTCCCTGTCCGCTAGGAGCACCTGCAGCAACACGTGCAGCAGCCAGGACAGCGACCGACGCCGCAGCCTCCCGGATCTTGTTGAAACTGCAAGTTTCGCTGCATGCATCTATAATAGTAGAGATGCCCCAGCAGCGCGTCTGGTGTTGAGGAGCTCTGCGAAGGTCTCTAGCAAAGCTTCTCTACTGAGCAGGCAGCTCCTGCACTAAGACAGCCGGGAAGCTGCACAGCCACATGAGGAATGCGCCCTTCGAGCAAATCCTCTTGAAGAAGTGTCAGGATTTCACTTGTTTGAGGGGCTTATCCTAGGCACATGTTGAACGCAGTCTCGCCCATCCACTGACCCCCTACCAGTTAACTGAGTTGACTGCTCTTGTTCGCAAGTGCCTCTTTCCCATATAGCCCGAACGGCCTCGCTAAACGAGCGCGAAGCGCTTAGGCGCCAGAGGAGGAGCGCACGCTTCTCGGCAAGAGGGATGAGGGCAGCGACTGGTGCCTCTTGTCTGAACGCGCACGCTCTTCATGGGGGCGAGGACCTCGCCCTCACGAGCCTCTGGCTGCTCCTGATCCTTTGCATCGCTTCAGCCGCTGCGGCGTGTATTGCATGGGCTGTTGCAGCCTACGCAAGGTCCAGGGGACAGGGCGGAGCTGCCTTGGCGCAGACCCCTTGGGGCCCCTTCTTGACTTTCGAGTCTCAGGGAGCCCCCCGTCCACTTCCCCACATGGCAGGCCCCCAGCTGCTGCAGCTTAGCAGCTGCAGTACTAACACAGACAGCAGCTCGGCGTACGAGCCGCTGAACTCTTGACAGAAGAGAAACTCAGGAGGCCCTGAAAAAAGCCGCAACCATCGGGTAGCCGCCCCCGCTGACGCCCCTTCGACTTTGGCGCTTCCCCATGATGGGGAACGCATGCGCATGTTTGTATGCATGCAGCGCACGTTGTGTCAGGGTTGCTCCTCCCGCCTCCGCAGCCAGCTGTAAGGTGCCTGTACTTGGAAAGCCACACAGTACAGGAGCTCAGATAGCCCTCTCCATCAGCGACTTACTGGATCCTTAAGCCCGTTACCCTGGCTCTAAACGGCATGTGCTAGAGTTGTGCACGGGCCTCCTGCAAACTGCTGTCCGTGTCGCTGCTCTCTAACTTGCCAGCTAGATGGCGGACGCCTAGCTTACTTGCTGGCTTGTTCGTAGCTACCTGCATGTACACCTGCTGCTGCAGGCGAGTCAGCAATCCCTCCCCCTGTGTAAAAATACTAGCCAACTAACGCTACCTCTGTAGCGGGACTCGGCAACCCTGGTGGGTGCAGCACTTACGCCCCTTGAACACATTCTGTTTTCTGCCTGTCCGCTACACTGCTGCAGAGCAGGGCGATTCAAGAAACTCTTGAGGGCCTGGGGCCCCCAACAAATGATCAAGATGCTTTAAACCCCCAAGGGCCCTCGTGGGGGCATGTAAGCCAAGTGCAATGCCCTAATACATTGGCCTGGTAACGGCTGCATTCTGTAGCACTTGATTTCCGCTCCGCAGCCGCTACTAGCGCCTGATGCTGCTCGACGCAGCTACTGTTGTTGCCGCTCAGTGTTGCTGTTGCTGCTCCTGTTCACTGCTGCTGACACTGCCGCGCCATTCGCCACGATCGCTGCCACCACTGCAGCTGCGCTGGCAACAACTGCTACAAGGAATGAACACAAAAAATAAACGACAGCAGAGTCGACCGCTGCCTCAATCATTGGGGCCGCCCCTCCCCGATCCCTGCGCTCTGCGGGCCAGCTCAGCAGCATTAATGGGGGTGCCATGCACCACCATAACCCGCTACAAGGGTTTCCGTATTTGACCAAAATGCTGCTCCTTCGACGTTGCCCTCAGAGTCCACCTCCCGTGGCTTCTCTCCTATGTCTTCTGTGTACAGGGTTGTAGTTTCACCAAGGCCGCTTAAGGAGTTCCCTTATGTACGAGGGCCTCCGGAGGTGCCATTACCTCGCAAAAACTCTGGAATGTTACACTGACGGAAGCGTTCTTACGAGCCTCCTGAAATAACGTACAGTGAAGCACTTCATGTGAACTCGCGGCAGCGCATCTCTAAGCGCTTGGCCTCCTGATTGGGCCTCCGATGCTCAACAATAGCAACACCCTGACGCTGTGTGCTAGCCATGGAGCTGGCTAGCTGCTTTGCGTCCATTCCATGTGTGCCTCTACTGGACACAATGGTTCGAGAAATCAACGGTTCACAATCCGACCAACCTACAGCGACGGGCACCTCCCCACCGACAAAGCACCCTTACTTTGCCATGCCGACCTTAAGGCATCGAATAATACGTATTCCTCCCTATGCGAGCAGACACAGCGTGTCATGGAGGTTAGCCGCGGCTATACGGATAGATATAGCCAGCTAGCTAGTCCCTCTTGGCGCTGCCTCGTCAAGCCACACTTGAACTAGGGTGTTGTTGGTGAATGACCCTGGGACCACCACCGCTCCCCATGCTTATGCACATCGAGTTTCCCTGCCTGAGCTCCAAAGTAGATCGCTGGTTTCATAATAGTAAGGCGTCCAGCTTACTGGTAGCCGGCTATTGGCCACGTGCTTTTCAGGTGTCGCTCCACATGCGCGCCAGCCGGCCGCATCGCTCACGCAGCTACTGGTCCTCTCATAAACCCGCAGTGTTGGTTGAAATGTCGTGGTCTGGTGCGCGTCTGTTCTGCAAACCCACTCGGACCTCTTCTGTCTCAGCATTGTACGGGGTGCCGCTGTAGGCTTGCTCGTTGAGACCACTCTCTTTCGCCTCTTCCTCCTGCGTATCGCTGCTTTGTTCCCAGTCTTTCTGCGCTTGATCGTTCTCTTGAATCATGGAATGCACTTCAGAGCCTGCTTCTGCGTCATGCAAAGCGGCCGTGTTGGCTTCTGCAGCAGCAGCCCTAGCAGCGCGCGCAGTAGCCCTTCCAGCAGCGCCAGCCGCTGCACCCTCAGCAGCCAGGGCAGCATTCGCCCTAGTCCGTTCATTGACAGCAGCTCGTTCCTCAGGAGTCATACGGGATCTCCGTGCGCTCACATGTACCATTTCCTCTAGTCCAACGCCTTTGCCCTCGGGGACGTAAAAGTACACAAACATCCCAGCTAACGCACTCAAGCCCGAAAATAAGAAGAAAGTCCCTGCAAAGAAAATTGCACACGGACAGGCAGTTCGATCGCGAAGCCCGAACTCGCTTGAAATCGCCACCGCTTCTCTATTCATAAAGTTTTTCGCCGGGGGTGATGCACACTGGGAAACAGCAGGTAGGTAGGCTAAGCATTTGCACTTTGAAAAACCACGAAGTAAGGAATAGACAGCATCTTCCCTCCCACACTGCCTGCTAATACTGCCAGCTGTGCAGACCAAGTCCTCCAACAGTAGACTCTATGAAGATTACGGCTGTGCGTCTAGGCTCTGCACTGAGGCCGGTACGGGTTCCCAAGAAGGCCCCCTGAAACACCCTTAAGAGGCTTCCCGTTGGACTGACCGGCAATGGTGATAGCCATGAAGAGTGGCTCGAGGGTCGACTGCATGATGAAAGCAACTGTCCAGAAGGCAGTAATCGTCATGCCCATCCCAATGCCTCTGGACCCATTGGGAAGAACCTGAGAAGGCACACGGAGCGGGCACCATTCTTTTCCGCAACAGCTTTACAAAGAATCGCAGTTAAACGTAAAAAAGCGGCACCTCCTCTTGTGTTCATCGAACTGGCTGTGTTGGTCTATAGTTGCATCTCCGTAGCAATTTTCATAAAATCATGACTTACCTCACTGGCCACAACAAACATGAGCGCTGCCCATGATATGTTCCAAAGAAACATAAAGGCCAGCATCCCAACGACAAGCAGCGTTGTGGGACCGCTAAGGGCAGCCGCCTCATCCGCAGCAGACATCCCGGAAAGAGATGCCATGCGCAAATCCTTGAGCAGGAAGCCAGACTGAGCCCCCACAAAAGCACAGAGCACAAGCACTTTCCACTAAGCAGAGGCTTGCAAGCGCGCGCAATGGAATAGGCGCGACGTCTACGTCAACTGCGGACCCGTATTGTGCATGCATGCAGCCTTGCAACCAGCATGCGCGGCTCGGTGCCACCAACGATGACATTTACGTGAAAAGTGTTCAGCCTAAAGCTGCAACTCACGCCCATGATAAGATGACAAGCCATGGATCCAAACGAACCAATGAGCAGCAAAACACGCCGGCCAATCCTCTCCACCAAACAGAGGCAACAGATAACCCCCATGAACTGCAGCGCCCATCGTTCGCACATCGTAGCGGAAGCCGCATGTGTGTGAGAAATGCAACTCCTTGTGGACAAGCCTTTAACAGATGGATTTTCATCGTTTAACGGTCTGCCTCGCTACAGGCTCCACAACGTAAGGCGCCATCCTCCATCACACAGAGCAGCTTTCCGTTCGTGCTCCCGTATACCTTCATGGCTCCGACGCCCGCTCCCGCGAGGTATGGATCTTCAATCCCCGCCATCTTGAAGATATCGATCGCAAAGTAAATGACAGAATTTGCAGCAGTCAGATTTTGGGCAACAGCGCACCCGACGGCTATGAACATCGGCCTGGCGTTGGCGACAACGAGCATTTTGTACTTATACAAGTACTGCACCACACAGACGCAAATCACACATCCCCGGGCAGCAAGCAGAATGTAGCTTGGATCCCACACCGAAGGCGACTCCTCAAAGGTCACAAAAGGACCGAGTTGAAGGAGCACACGCAACAAGGGCTCCTTCGGTTCACAGGATCTAGGCACCCCATGCACAAGCAAATAACGACGCAAACGCAAGAGACGTCCAGCCCCACGTCGCGAAAAGGTCTAGGATCTACCCCGCTTAAAATTCAAGCCCAGGGCACAAGGTCTACGCCGCACGTAGGCAAGACTGTTTTGCTTGACTCCCGTTTTCAGGACTTCGTCTCTCTGGTCGACGAATTCCTCCAATTCTTGTGCTATGTCTCTGAGAAGGACTGCCAAGAACGTGTCTAGCTGATCTTTGTTCTGGAAGTTGAATAAGCGCATCGCTGCAGCTCGTGCCTCTGAACCGCGTCCGTGCCGTAACAAATACCGGGGACTCTCCGGTAACACGAAGACCTCGCCCACAATCTGAATACAGAGACATTCAAGAGCTCTGCAATTTTAAAATACGAATAGCACAATGCGTATAAAGCGACAGAGAGAAGTATCACTTTTAGTCCGAAGGCTCGGGGGACTTGCTTGAACGCACGAGAAAGCGACAGCCAGGTGTATACACATATACATGGATCCATCGTTCAAAGTTCCTAGACCAAGGCGTTCGTGTAAACATACTTCTTCTTGGTGCACTTCTACAGCTACATAGTAACGCTCGAGAGTCTGGACTACAGTTTCAAAGCCATGTCCTTTCTCCCTATCCCTGCTCCTATCGATCCTACTTTTAGCCTCCCTTCCCATCCAAAAGCACCTGACCTGCAAAAGAGCGATGATTCCAGCACCACCCATCATAACTCTCCAGGGAGATCCACCCCAGATGGCCGCAAGGACGTACGCAAACAGACAGCCTACATAGGCAACAAGGCAGGAAAGCCTCTAGGATTTATGATTTGTGAGTTCTGAAAGAAAGACATCCATGCCAAGAGGACTGCAATGCCTTTACGTTTTTTTATGCGACCTTCTATATGACGTGTAGCCACCAGCTCGCTTCCTTCTTCACGCATGATAGACGGTGTGGGGGTCATGGAGGCGTCAAGTGCAGGGAGGGGCTGGGGTTATCCCCAATGGGCTCGGGCTCACCAGTGCACTGTGCAACTTCCTGGCATGCAACTAGAATGCCGCGAATGTCAGTCGGTGCTATTTCGCTCATATACGTCGAATACACGACGAAACCAGTTCCAACGCCTACACCGACAAAGAAGCGTCCAGTCAGTGCAATCTGAGAACCACCACACAGTCACCAAGGTTCCAGACAGCCCTCCTCCAAGCGCGAAAGTAAAGCACGGCGTATACTGACCAACGCAAAATCTGCAGATCCTCTAACGCACTGCCTCGCCTACATGCTGCACACGCGTAGCAGATGGTTCCCTTGACCTACCCAGTAAGCAAAGCCGCAGGCGAACAGAATCGACGCCAAAAAAAGGCAAAAGTCACTGAGTAGGAGTCCTGGCCGCCTGCCATACCGATCTGCCACTATGCCACCAAGCACACTTCCTAACTGCATGAGCGCAAACAGGCAATCTCCGAAAAACCCTGTGCGTGTCTTGGGCTGACCTCTTCTCGCCCTCTCCCAAGCCTCCTCTCCTGCCCCCGCCGCAAAATGCGCTAGGCACCTCAATGTACGAGCCCTCTAGAACGCCGTATGACCTTTATCAATACGCTGTCGCTCACGGCCTGTGTCGGGCACACATCGTACCATGGCTCCAGGTGCAAGAACGGAGACGAAGAGCGTTTTCGCGTTGCAAGTATCCGCACTGCCGCACAGATTAAAATCCTGGGAGACTGGATCAAGGACTACCGCCACGATGCACATGTCATAACCCATAAGAAGACCGGTCAGGGCAGCAAACCCCGAAACGGAGAGAAGAATAAAGGAGCAATGCCCTCGGAGTCTCTTCGGCTTCAGGGGGATGCGGGAGAAGTATTCCTCGAAGCGTGAGGGCACGTAGGGTGACCAGGGTTCATCGGCCGCAATCGCTGATCGTATGGCCTGGTATTCCTTTTCCTTCTCCCTCCTCTCTTCCGCTGTTAGTTCCCCATCTGCAGAAGGGCCCTTTTCTGTTGCGCGTAATGGATCCTGAGGGACGGTCACAGAAAAAGAAGGTTGTGGTCCCCCGAGCGAAGATGTGGTCTTGTCCGAGAAGGCTTCCGCAAGCGACTTCTGGTCGACCATCTTCGGCACGAGAGGGGACTGACGATTGCTCGCGTCCGAAGGCTTTCGCGGTGTGAGGTGGTAAGGGAAGTTTACACCAGGTATATAGCCTTACTTCCAAGGCGAGAGATACAGAAAGGCATTAATGCTGAGAAATACACAGAAGGAGAAAAATGCAGAGCTGCAAAGCGGGGCGGACACAACTGGCCATGGAAGGACCGGCGGTAGTGTCACCCAGCATCCCTAAGAATGCAGGCCCGAGGAACACGCACAGAGGAAGAAAGCAGCACAACAATTAAGCAATACGTCCCAACACGCTTGGGAAAAAAATTAGAACCATGAATGATGACTGGGAAATGTACGCAGCAGCCCACCAGGATCAGCAGATGCAGCCACGTGCCATTCTCGTCGCTCACCCACAGCCGGCCAACCAGCAGAGTGTGCGCACCCTACGAGATAGCCAGCAAGGAAGCCTACCCGCAAATTCACATCATAAGAGGTTGTCAAGCCTGTTATGAAAGGTATTGGACGAAAGTAATCATGAGACACCGTGGAAAATGGTGCCGTAGCCCCTGTCGCCCTTGTACCTTGTCGAGCTCAATGCTCTTAACCTCAAGCCCTAAACTATACTTCATATGGAAATAGTAGAAGATGTGATAGAGGTTTTGAATCTGCTTGGATAATTAGATTGAGGTGGCATTTTTGCTTCCGTATGCATGCTGGCGTGCCGCCAGAATCCTCGTCACATCGTCCCCTTCCTCAGTTTTTTTTTTGCCTCCTACACTTCTTTTCTGACTTGTTACCGATAGAAGCATTCTGGGGAGTCCACTGTCTGCAATATCTTCTCGCATTTGCATCAAATAGGTAGCCTCTTCCCCCCCCACGCCCCACACTATCGAGGAATTATTGAAAGGAAAGAAGTGAAGAGAGCGAAAGAGAGCTATAGACAAGGAATAAGCTAAAATGAAAATCTCTTATTGAAACTTTGGCTTGTTTTCCGAACAAATACATATCTCTTGTCTCAAGCCGACCCACATCCTGCACCACTCATTGAAGGTCTCCACGACAGGGCACTTGACTTCCAACTAGTTAAGACGCGAAAAATTATTTAGTTTTTTTCGAAAGGCTTCCCTCCTGCCTATGCCTGCGCCTTCGAGGGTTTAGACAGAAGAGGGACGGACAACTACGTTGCGCGTAGCTGCAGTCTCTATGCGCCCCGGGCACCCATTGCTGGTTGAACACAGCATCTAGAGCACACGCACATAATACAGTGGGTCGTCTTCTATCAAGCTAGTAGTATTAGGCAGTATACGGATAAAAAAAGCCAACCGGTGTGATAGAAAGTGAAGTATAGCTCATAGCCCGTTAAGCGTCCCATGGATACATAGGCGCTAACACAAAGCGGTGCGGTCAGAAGGGTCGAATGCTTCCGCATGAAAGCAGCACTCTCGCCTGCGATGTGCACGATAATAATTGTTGTAGGCGCTGCTGCGCTTGCTGTTTGTACTAGAGCTGGTAGCACTTTAGTGATTTTTGCTGCTTGGAGCATGTCTGCTACCTCTTTTGCAGCGCTTCCCACTACGAGTGCTGCCAGGAGCACGGAGCACAATTCACCGTGGATGCAGAAGCTGCAAGCAAAGTGGTATCGCAGCAAGTCTCGAGGACTTGAGCAGGCAACACAAGTAAACACCATTGCCTACTCGAAGGGGGAGGCTTCAGTGCGTTTTTGTGGCATTCGACTTGCTTTGGTGCTGGAGCAGCCCAAGACTGGATCAGTACCCTCTACGAGGAGTCCAATGTACCGGAGGCGCCTTTCGAGTAAGCAACAACACTACAGTCTGCGGCAAGGTGATATTTTTCCACTGCGTTTACTGACTTGGCAGAATGCTTCCAGTCTCCTAGAGAGCGCTGACTGCAGGGCCCTTGCTGGGAAAGCAGATACTATGGATCTACTGATGGAAAGAGGCAGGCACACTGAGATGGTTGCAGACTCTTTGCTCTTTCTTGTTCAATGCGAGAGGACCACAAGCGAGGATGGGCTCACTCCGATATTCTTCATTTAGACCTAGACTTCTGTGTCAAGAGCTTCAATTAGCGGAACGTTGTATCCTTCGCTCTTTTGGGGTCTGTATCTATGTTTCTACATGCTGTCTGGCGTGGCTGTATTCCCTCCCTGTTAACCCCGTCAGCGTCGCGTCCTCCGAAACAAACGGACAGAGAACCAGGGGCTCAAATTTCCCCCTTTTGCCCTCAGAGTGTCGGGACGAGCCTACGGTTGGCTCCTGAGAAGCCTGGAATAGCTGTAAAGAGTAGCCTGTGTTGAGGGACTCTGTCGGGTCTGTTCACACCGCGCACGCTTTTATATCAGTGGCAGTCCAGCGGCACCTGTAGCACCTATTGGTGATCTTAGACAATAACGGATGGGTACTTCTGCCGCCTTCTCTTTCTGCAGGCAGAGAGTGCGGCGGTCAGTCCCATGGCCTTAAGCGTTTTGTGGGCCCCATGAGATTTTTCGCACGAGTCTTCCACTTCAGGTTGGTCAGGCCCTCTTGACGAGGCTCCCTGGGGATTGTGAGCGAAGGGGTCGACAAATGCTTCGGCGAATTCGCAGCGCAAAAGCTCAGTTGCCAGAGCGTCCACCTCCTGAAAGCCGCAGGAAACAATCAGACAAGGCCCTGCTTGAAGCAATGAAACACTTCAGCGTGGACGGTGACCCATAAAGGCTTTAAGGCCACCCATTAACCGACCCATCCACGTAAGATAAAGATTTTGCTCTAAGCCTGGCTCAAGCCGTTAGATTGCAGGTAGGGCCAGTAGGGTCCGTATATTGGCAAAGGCAAGGTACGCGGTAGAAGCAGCCAATTCAATCTACGCACAAAGACACCCCATTCTACGTCAACGCCACCAGCACACTCGAAAATAAGTGGGCAAACACTGCTGAGCGAGAGGACTCTTAGGTTTAGTTCTTTTTAGGTGTACACCACAGGCTTTGACGGAAAGACCCCCTACCCAAAGCTCCCCAGCTGGATCTGACCTTGGCTTCTTCTGTGAGCTCTGCTGCTGCATGCCGGACGGCGCCTAATACCTTGACGAGGGCCTGTGCAGCCTTGCCCTCTAAGAGCATCTGCAGCATCTTCTCCCCCTGTACGCTTTCAACCAACTGTGCCGCTGGTTCCCCGTCCAAGCCATCTGGAAGCAGCAGCCAGACATGTGGGGAGGCTGCAGCAGGAAACAAACGCTCTTGGGCTGAGGCGCGGCCCCCAGGGGGCTCTGTGGGGGAGACTGGATCTCGAGTTTCCTTTGGAGGAGGCCCTTCTACGCAATCGCAGGAAGAAGAACCCTCCTGCAAGTCGCATATCGCAATCGGCAGTTCGATGCCGTGCGATCTGAACGCAGCACACAGATGCATGCGCCCTAAGCTCTTTAGCTGCCAAGGCAGCACAAAACACAAGGGCCTTACTACTACGGCCAAAGTGACATTCGTGCCAATGGTCTCGGGGAAGGCTTCTAGTTTACCTGAGTCTCTTAGCCAGCTCAACAAAGAGACACGCCGTTGTATGGGCCCCGAAGCGTGCAGCATCTGTCAAGAGGAGCAGGGCTTCAGTTGGTTGTTCGACCAGCTGCTTAATCTCTCCAAATGAAACAAAGAGCAGAGGCGGAAAAGAAAAGTGCCGCTGTAGCTGCCGCGACAGCGCAAGGCTGCAGCAACAGAGAGGCGCACAAACCGTGTAGCCGAAAACGCCTTAAGCTGTTGTCCTTTCGAAGCCCAAACATTTCGCGAATAATGCCGGCACGCAGTTCAGAGTGGGGAAACACAGAAAAAAGGTGCCAACAGTACGCCACGATAGGGAGATGGGACGGTGACTTTTGGCACTGCTTATTTGGGTGTCTTCATGCCTTGCTGTTTTACTCCTTAATACAAATATGTATACCTTTTCTTCTGCTTCTCGCGTAGTCTTGTCGTTATGAACTGCGCAAGGGCCAAGGGTGTCGCCAGCAGGCAGAGAAAACAAATCCAAGGCAGCACTGAACATCCACAAGCGCCACAGGCCCCCTCGAGTGCGGCGTATTCTACTGCCACAACGCACCCTCTGCATTGTTGTAGAGCCTCGCGGACGATCGGAAATAAATGCACTAAGGAAGGGATTCGGGGTAAGTGTTTGGGCTTTTTACTGCATAAACTTGCCGGCAAAGAGAATCTGGAAGCGTTGCTCTTCTTTGGTGAGTTTGTGAGGCTCCACTAGGAGAGCGCTTGGATCTCTGGGGGGCAAGTAGCGATCAACGACACCACCTAATGAAGCCGCACAGCCAAGATCGAACCCGCAAGCCCCAGCCTGGACCCCGTGTAGAATCTGCAATCTGCGCAGGGCGTTTGTATCGCTTGGAAGCTGGTGGACAGGAGATGACTTCTTGCTCCCTTTCGCCGCGCATCATGCTGTGTGCAGCAAACAAATACCCCTCGCCATACGGCCTCGAAGTGTGGATTAAAGACTCACCCGGGAGAGTGAGCCCCTGGATGGCTTTTGCGCGCAGCTGGCGTTCACGGGCTTCCGCCAGCGTCTTAGGGCCCTGCAGCCAATAAAACACATGCCCTCAACCCCAGCGCCAAACTTAGGAACAACAATTTACGGCTTCCTGACGTCGTGTGTGCAGTGATGGGGGCTCTTCCTGTGTGTGTACCTCTTCGACTGCCGTGGGGTCTCTGCATTCCTCTCTCTGCACGAGCGGCGCTCTCCCGTCTTCTGTACAAGAGTCGCTCGCATTTGTTGGCCCTGGGCGTCCAGACACTGCAGCTTGCTCCCTGTCTTTGTGATAGCTCCGGAGACCCCTCTCAAGGCACTGAGAAGCCACGCAGTGCCGCTGGCGGCATGCGACGTCCGCCGGAAGGGGGCCCCACGCGGCAGTCGAAAGAAGCCAGGGGGCCCCTGTGGGAGCCTGCTTATGAGCTTCTTCCAATTGAAGACGCCGCCAGGAGAAGGGCTCCACCTCGGGAACACCTTGGTTCGGAAGCCACAAAGGCTGTCGAAGAGCGGCATTGCAGACTGGCCGACACAGCCTTTGCTTCGGGCAGTGCGACGCACAAGGCGCTCTCTGAAGACGCTCCTGAAGGGGCAGTCGCAGTAGCGGGGAAGGCCTCCGAAGTGCAAGGCGGCATGGCAGGGCCTGCATTGCTGTGGCCATGGCGCAAAGAAGCACAAGGGCTACACGCACTGCTTCAGGCTGCAGCAGCTGAACCCCCCGCACGAGCCGCAACGGGTGTATGAGCTGTCATACAAAATGCTTGGATACGCAGATATAAACACGAGGGGAGATCGAGCAGACATCTGAATTCTTCATCGTACTCCTTCCTAGGTGTATTTGCGTTTCCCGAAAAGAAGGGCCCCCAGCCCGACGAGCCCTTGTATCGGTTGTTAGACTGTCATGCTGTTGTATTTTTCTGTATTCTCTCTTTATTTTTCACATCTAACAGACGCCCAGCGAAATGAGCCCACAAGGGGGGCCTGTACAAGGGCCCAGAGGGTGGGGCCCTTTCCTGCTCGTAGTCGTCAGTTACTTTTTCTGCTCTGAAGGGAGATTAGGAGAAAAGAGCAGCTAAGGAATGGCGAGCTCTACATATAAGTGTACCTATGTAGGAAATTTTCTTTAATGTGGGCCCTCCTCTCAGTCTTCTACAAGAGACCGTCGTGCGCGCCAAGGGCACAGGGTCCCCTGCCGAGTATCACCGTGTCGGGAAAGACAACAATATCTCCTGTTTCGGCATGTTAGACGCTTTTATGTTGTGGTTTTTTTTATTCGAATGGGAAGCCTTTGGAGGGCTAGTGCTAAGCGCTTGAAGGCTCAGCGCTAGTACAGCCCGCCGGTGCAGTTTCAAATGCACCTCGACACTCACATATACTTATTTAACACTAGTCATATATGATTGCATCTTTAGCTGCTGGTATATTCTGCCTGCTGTGGAGGAGGGATGGCCCAATTTTGCAAGAATGTATGTAGTATACCAACATGTCTGCATACTGACCACATGAAATAGACTTGGCATGAAGTACATGTATGAAGAAAATGGTGGAAGGAAGAATGCTAGTTACCTTTTGGCAGGGTGTGCGCCTGATGTGATATCTAATGAACGACGCGGCAGCGTAACTCTATTCGGGGATTTAAGTGTTCCTCATTTCTCATAAGGAAACCCTACACATGTGGTCCACTTCTCATCCTGGCGAAACTCAGGGGCGCGGGGGTTGGGGAACCCGAATGTCTTTTCTAAAATGCACAATTATTTTTTTGCTGGATTCGTGTATGGACTAGAGTTCAAAATCGCCCTACGCAGACCTCCAATGGAGCGTAGCACTTGGTAGCACCAAAGGGTTGTATGCAGCTGTCTGCCGTTCCTCCACTGGCTGTCGATACAGTAAGATGTCATTCTTCCATACAGAAACTCTAATTTTGACCCTCACCCAGACGCTGTCACATGTAGTCGGCGAAGCTATGCTATGGCACTGTCAACACACCACTTATACGTAGCTAGGAGTCGGTTTGAATATGACTAGCTGACATGTCTGTTCGTTCATACACCAAATTTATTGCAGAGTACTAGTCGCGCAAAAGGTGGAAAGGCAATGTTATGTGCGCTTGCGCTAGATGCTGTGTGAAACTAGCTGTAATT